ATGTTGAAAAATGGCTGGTTTGAGAAAACTTACCTTTTGTCTTCCTGATAATTTATTTATCACAGATCTCCAGGATTAAATAAAAATATATATACTAATAAATAACAAGCAAGTCTGTCACATTTCTTCAACTCCACAATAAAAATATTTGGCATGGAGAGATTCAGACAATGCCATCTAAATACTAGATCTTAATTTTAATGTGAGTAGTTACTTAGGAGGCACCAGTAATTCTTTTACAACATTTTGTGACTCACTGATTTCTAGAATAGAGCCAGTAGCGGTGAAAATCACTGAGCTCCCTAAAGGTGATTAATCTGCACCTTGGGGAGCTGTCATATGTGGTACCTCAATCCTAGACAACCTCCACAGAAATAACCCACTCAAAAGGCCCCTGTAGAGGATACTTCTTGGATGGACAAGGACTCCAAGCAGCTGGATTGCAGCCACTTGTGCCCCCTTTTTCTCTACTGAAAACTACAGGGTTCAGGTGTTTAAGGAAAAATTGAGTGTTAGACTGTGATCCCTTTATAGGATTAGAGAAAAATCACATCATGTCCTCTGAAGTCACTCCGTTAAGAAGTATAAAGGGGGGTCAGCAATTTTTTAGCTGTCTAAGGGTCCCAAAGTTGCAAAACCTCATGAAAACCCATGAACACAGCACCAAGTTCACAATACCTTGTGAGCACCAATGTCACGGGCTGAAAGAGGGGAAACTGTGAGTGAGTGGCCAGAACCCATCATTAGAAGCAGTTGATCAGTTTGAATATCAAGTAAAACTGATATGGATCAGGGAAATCCAAATTACACAGGTATTATTAAAGATGTCCCAGCACTCATCTTAAAGCCTCTTTACTCTTTTATTTGGAGTGGACAGCATTTTTTATATAAATAATTTTATTTCTAATGTGTTTATTTCTATTTTTTATCTCTTGCTCTTTCCATCAAGGAACTATCTCAAAGAAAAATAAAACTAACTCCTAATTTTAGCTGTTCATCTTCTCTGTGGATTGAATCAAATTTTCCATAGTTTTGGTAGGCAAAAACATTCTACTGCATAAAAGGATATGAAAATAAAGAAAATATTGGATCATTAGATCATACTGAGTTTTTAAGTATTATTACAACAATGGGCATTGTTTTAATTGTTCCCCTGACAATCTCTTTTCAGCCAATTAATAACCTGGGGATTAAAATAGCTGATTAAAACCCTGCTAATTGCTTTCAGTGTCCATGGCACTAGCAGTGCCTTTGTCTTCTGATGGTCCAGCTGGTTCCCTTCTGTTCTCCCCCAGTATAATCTGCATTTGGTGACACTTGTCTGTGCAGGTGTATACCACTGTGCTATTTGCTTGGATCAGGAAGGAAGCAGCACTAGACCTGGTGTTTATTACACCTCAGGATAGAGTGGCTTTCTAGGACTTTCATCCGTGTGATCCCATCATTTGCTACCTTTGTCACTGACCAAGAAATACTATCTTTTCTTCTACTTAAATTTTAGGTGATGGTCAAAGGAGTAAAATGAGAGTAGGAAAATATATTTTAGAAAGTGGGGGGGGGGGAAAGAAAAGAAAATGCCTTCCTCTGTCTCTTTACTTCCCCTCCAAATCTTTACCTCTGCCTTGAAATGTCCTTACACCCATTTGGATAATGTATCTAATAGCAACAAATGGAAAATGTCTTCCTGGTTCTTTTATATATAATTAAAAGTAAGGTATATATCATGCATCAAATTTGTGTCACTCTCCTGAGCTTGAGATAACTGCCTTGAATGGACACTGTCAGATCTGCTTCCACTGCCTTGGGGTCCCAACTCCAGGGAGGGAGGAAGAAAATATGGATAGTCACCAGCTCTTCCAGTTTCTCTCCCACCCACCTTGAATTTCATGTGGCTTGCATTTTGATCACACCAGTATTCTACTATTCTAATTAATAGAATTTTGGATCTCTTTAATTAGAAGAATTTTGCTACAAAAACTAAAAATTTTTAAATGACACTAAAATAAAGGTATTTCCTAGTCTAGAATTAGTTTGCTTCTCTACTGATCATTCCAGCAGCAACAGATCCATTTTGGTAAGCCTGAAAACATGGAACCCATTTCATTTCTTTTTATTTTACTTTTAAATTCTTTCTATTATGTTTTCTGTGGTTTCCTTTTTCTCTCTCCTATTCTTTAATTAGAATGTGAACTGAGGTATCAAATGCTTCACTTTACTGCTGGGTCTGCAACAACGTGATGGTTTCTATTTTCACCTTTTTCTTTCAGCCACACATGGGCTGCCAAGGACATGCCCTTTCTGCATGTCTTGGCTGCTTCTCACTGACTGGTGCTTTTCCTGGCAGACTGGCTGTTGAAATGCTTCCTTTAGGTCAAGGTAAATGGCACCAGAAAGCACCACAATTGGACATTGTTTCTTTCTGCCTGATACTTCCCTTCCTCCATCAAATATTTGTTGAAAACCTACTGGAGCCAAGACCAGAGAGATACTAAATTAGGTACTAGGCACATCAAGATGAGAAACCAGTCCTTGTCTTCAAGGTACTGCCCTCTGGGAGCTTAGACAAAGTTCTCCTTGATTCACAGGAAGAAAAATGAGGAAACGGAGTCAGATGATTTCTTGAGAATACTTTCTGTTTTATGGAATTATTTTAGTGGTTCATCTCCTGCTTTGTCCTGGACACTTTAATGCTATGGTCCTTCCTCTTTTGTTGTCAATTGTTATGTGTTTCAAGGATACAAAGGTATTTGAATATAAAAGTAAATAAATTTTGGTGTTCTTATGATATGGAATACTATACATTCAGGAATAATGCTTCTAAAAGCTTACAATGACATGGGAAAATGTGCATACTATAATGCTAAGTGAAAAAAACATACAGGCAGAGAACAGAGCCTTGGAATGCAAGGCATTAAGTTATTTGTTAACACCCAAATTTTAACAGTGGATACCCCTGAATGGTGGGGTTATAAATATTTAAATTTGCTAATTTGTTTCTTTTATTTTTTTAAGTAAAGAATTCCATGACTATGTTTTTCTAAAATAAAAATTAATAAAGTTACTTTTAAATATACAGAAGTGATTGGTTTGTGAGCAAAAATTTCAGTGTATGCCAATGCCAGATATAATTTTAGAAATATACTTGGCCTCAAATTTTCAAAATGTTCAATGTTTCTGTCCTTAACATTGACTTTTATGGATTTGAAGCTTATATAACTAGTCAAATTCTGTTATCTATCTGAGGAATTATAATCTTCAAATATTCACTTTAGAAAAATCTAAGGGCTCCGTAAAGAAAAAAGGAAGGGCCTTTCTTCATCTATTTCTTCATCTGTCAAAAGTGCAAGGTTTTATTTAGAGTCTTGCATTTGTTAAGCAAGGTGAAAGTACAGGTCACCAAGAGGTTATTTCAGGAAAAAGCTTTGCAGAGAGCCACTGACCATGGATGACTTCACTGCTTGAAACAGCTGCTGTGATGCGTTTGCTCAAGCATGATTTGGGATATCAGATCACAGACTCAGAAAGGCCACAAATGTCGACTGGTGCACATAAAATACCTATAAGAGAAGGTGCTCCCTCCATATGGAAAATCCATAAGAAAAAAATCTATTAGTGCTTGCTTGGTACCGCTAAAGTCATTCTATTTGCTTTAACTGAGGAGAGCAGAAATAGCCAGTAGCTGAGGGATCCAAAAACTCACTCTGGTTTCTAGGAGAACTGTGAAAGAAGGCATTTGATGTTTGATCAATCACCTATAAATCAATATTTCCAACAGCTCATTTTGTAACTTGTCATTAAGTATCTAAAAGGCTAAAAAGAAGACTGCACTGTTAACCAGGCAATTGGGTCTCCAGAAGACATGGAAAGACTTTACACATGTCAGTCAGTCACTAAGGCATGTTAAAGAGGGAAAAATCAATTGTCAGCTCATATGGCCATGGAACTAACAAAGAAAGATTTCTCTTGGAGCCGTGTTGCTCAAAATGTGGTCCTTGACCAACAGCATGGGCATCCCCTGTGGCTTATTAGAAATGCAGGATCTGGACTTTGCCTAGTTCCACTAAAGGGGAATCTGCATTTTAACAAGATCTCCAGGTGATGTAGTATTTAAGGAACACCATATGGTATGTATGGAACATAAAAACCACTTATGAAGCTATTTTGAGTGTTTCTGTTTCCTATCTGTTTTCAAAAATATTGAAAGTAAACATTTTTATTATGGCAAAACCACTCATCTTCCAGTCAAAATTCTCTTTCCTCTCTTCCTCCCTCCCCCCACCCTGTTTTCCCCACAGCTGAGGTAATCAGAACTACATTTATAATTTATTTTTCAAATCTAGTTTACAAAGGCAAGCATTTTCCAACTGTTCCAATTATCAAATTGCTTTTGTAATTATAAGCAAATTATATGTTTAAAGGGATATATTTACCACAGACTTCTAGAATTTTTACTTCATATCTTTCTACATTTTCTGGAAATTTTTTGTCCCTTTATAAATATTCTCTTAATGAAGAAATTCTAACTTTGTATTTTTTAAATGAGGCTTCTCGTTGTTGCCATGGGGATAGTGTTTTGGTTTCTAGGATAAAAAATATATTGGTAGTGTGCTAAATGTCAGCAAGCCTCTAGGAGAATGTGACTTCTCCCAGCCATAGGAGTTCATGGGGCATAGATCCCATATCCCATGCAGGGCTATCCTTACCTTGAGATAATCTCTGTTCATAAATGAGTGACCAGTTTCTAGTCTACTGATGACATCACTGATACATAACAGTATCAGACAGACATACATGTAAATTTATCTTTGATTAGGAGGTAAAAGGTGAGAAAACTGTGGGAAAACTTGCAGATAAATTTGAAGTAATTATTAAAGTGATATTATGGTTTTTTTAAATGTAAAAAAGGATGGAACTGTCCTATAAAATTTGGATTAAGAAAAAGAAGGTGGCAGAGGGAATCTAAGGTGGGATCTAGGTAGATCTTTGAAGGTCATTCATACCTGATTGTCGAATTCTTTGAAGAGTTTGCTGGACCAGAACCTCTGATCTTGGGACAATGATGATGAAGTCTACTTTGCTGAAGTGGCCAAGATCCAGGCTCTGGCTACCACTATCTGCGATAGCACACACCTGGGATAAGAGTTTTCTGGCAACTGTTAGCTGCGGTTGATAAATTTGGAAGGTTTCATTATCTAAATCTAAGATAAAAAAAGTCATAAGAACAATATTAATTCACTTCTATAATGGCCACTAAGAATCCACATGGAGACATAATATCCACAGGGCAAAGTAATGTTCTGTCACCAAGAATTTCATTTTCTAGTCACACTCTGGATTAAATTTTAATAGTTTTTTAAAAAGTTATTTGAAAGAATGTGCTCAGGAGTGGATGTGGTAATTTTACAGTGTACCATTTTAAAAATAATTGTCTCATAAATTACTAACTCAGCACCCTTCCCCCACTAAGGGAGAGACAGACTCCACTCCTGCAGAAGAAGACAAGACTCATCTCTGGAAAGGGAAAGAAAGATTTTCCAGTTTTATTTAGGAACATCAGCACAGGTCAGGTACCTGAGCCCTGTTCAGGGAAGGAGGCAATGCTGAGTTCCTTTGAGCGTTTCTTGATGTGCTACAGTAAACAGTTCCTCTCTAGCAAATCAGTTGCAACATAGTTTGAAATTCTTCTCCCCATGGCTGCATAACATTCATAGGTCACAGAGACACTACCTTCACCTTTCTTCCCACTTGACTGCCAGTTCTTGTGACCTGGCAGGTCTAGGTGGTTGTGGTCAAGTCCAGTGCTGACGCCAGTACTATCTGAAGAGACCTAACTCATGACAGGGCCAGCTGGCCACTCAACAGGTGACGTATTAGAAGAACATTGCCCAGATGCTCCAAACATGCCAGTAGCTTTTCATCACAAGTTATAAGTAAGCAATCAATCTCTCTTATCCTTGTGTACGTGCATACACACACACAATGAAAGAGAGGCTTAGTCAGCTTAAACACCTGAGCAGGCAACAGCCAAGACTTCTGTAAAGTGTTGCTTTTTATCAGGAACACATGTGGAAGTTTGACTGGCACAATTGAAGAGCCAATTAACCTGTGCTAATGAAGGTTTTCTAAAATCAAACTGCAATGCAGCCAAGGCAAGACAGTAATCACAGTGCCCCACCACCACAGAACCCTGACAGTGTGTGGAGATTTATACAGGTGGGTCTCCTACTGGCTGAGAGAAACCATTAGAAAAGCCCAAAGCTGCAACTTTTAATAGTAGCCCGTGCAGTTTTTACCACAAAGATTAATAACCAAAAATAAATCTGTCTTCCAATAATTAGGCTGTTATTTCTATCAATTCACAGGTTAGATGAGTGGGTACAAATATTTATATGATGGGAAACTTCTTAGAATTTAACTTACTTAGCAAATTTTGAAGTTTGGGGAATTCTAAAAATATCTTTAAGTGATGCTTAAAAACAAACAAACAAGGAATCAAAAAATCTATAAGTATTCTCAGAATTTTAAAATTCCAATGTGTTAATAATTCAAAAACTGCATAAGCACATTTAGATCATCTTGGTGATGACTTTACTAACAGATATGGTCCAGAAGTGAAAAAATTTTATTTCCTGTATTTGTATTTGTTTTTATGACTGAACTGATACCAAGTCATGCTACTTTAATTGCGCTGACAATCTTAAAATATAAATGATGCGTTCCTATCAAGTGGAGGCCAAAAAGCTGTCAGCAGCAGCTTGTACAGATCTGTTTTGTATCTATGTGTTCTCCTGTTCTTTTTTTCTGTCCTGTCCTATGTGTCCCTATCAATCAGAAGACAGGGGAAATAATTTGAACCCAATGGGATCCACTCTAATAATGGGCATCTTCACCCCTGGCCTCATGAGTACCCCTCTGCATCTGTGAAGGTTTTTGTAGGGCAGATTAGGCACTGGTACTGCTGCTCCAGCTGCCAGGCAGTCCTCAGTATTGCTGAGGTTATGTGTATTTTACACATCAGGAGTGGAGTCCCAGCTCCCGAACAGACTGTAGTCTAGACATTTTCAAGTAGTTCTTTGAAACCCCCAGTGAGTACCGACAGCTTTCTGGGCATACCTGGTGGAGCTAAAGGGAATTTTACCAAGGACTCCAGAAATTTTTGAGAAAAAAAATAGGAAAAACTGTTTAATATTATGTCTTTGACTTTGATTTAAATTTTTGGAGACATTTACTAAGAACAAGGCCTTTGATCCAAGCCACATGGCAAGCCATTTTAAATTTGACTTTGTTTTATCATGTAGATAATGAGAAAAAGTCCATCAGAGCTTGTGACTTGAAGAAGAGTCCTCAAAACCATCAGAAGGACATTGATTTAATAAAGTTTGTTCTAAGGGATGATTTTCTCCTTTTGGTCTAAGGTTATATTACCCAGGTTTTGTGTAGGAATCATTGCAGCCGCCTCCTGAGGTGATACACATTCATTAAGATCTCCATTGAAAGGAGTAATCACACTGTCTCCTCTTCTTTGTTGCATTTTTTCTAGCAGCTTGTCCAGATCATCGCCTATCACAAAATAAGGCAGAGGTAAGAAGATTACAAGGAATGAGATGTTTGTATTAGGCTCCAAGTTGGGCAGTTCAGCTGGGTTCTCATCCAGGTTTGTTGGTGAGCCAGCTTTTCATGTCTGAGTTTACACTATAGCCAGAGCTAACCTCGTTTGTATCCTCCTTACAGTTCATACACTTGCACAGGCTGTATTTCTCTTGACCTCCACAATACTCAAAGCAGGCAGGATGGCAGCACTATATCGCCATCTGACATATTGGAAAACTGAAACCTAGGGGACAGAGTGTCACCCAAGGTCACAGAACAATGTAATGGCTGAGCTGAGGCCTCCAACACTAGTATGTGTACCTTCCTCTAGACAGCAACAGAATACTTAGAAGAAGTCATTCCAAGTAAGGGACGATCAGCTGGAAACCTTAAGTATATACTCATCTCCATGACAGGCTAAGGTTTAAATTTAAAAACTCATGCAGCTAAGGGCTGGCACTGTTGCTGACTCCTACTCACCTAATGATGTGGTTTTGAAATGCGATGCCAGGAAACTGACCTTTCCCGTGATGAGCTCATAACTAATTTCTTTCAAAAACTCACTTGTGGTGAGCATGCTCTCTGCCAGAGCTCTGGACTGCTGCTGACCTGAGGAACAGAGGGAGAGGAGACGATATGCCAGGACATGCTTTATAAAAGCACAAACTGGAAACAACTGAAGTATGTCACTACAGGGATTAGGTTAAGAAAGTATAGCACATCAAAAGATGGACAACTGCACGGTCTTTAAAATGACAACTATAAACATAAATGTTTTTAATGCAATGTTAGATGATCAAGGAGAAAAAAATGGCACACCTAATATTTGTAACTGAAAACATACCGTGTGTGTTCAAAGTATAGGAAGGAATATAAAACCTTTAAAAATTGTTTGCAAGGTTATTATGAATATCTGTCTTAAAATATGAACTCCCCTTGTCAAGAAGTTTTTACAAATGAAAATTTAAAAAGTCAATGTATTCAATTTTTGATGAAGCTCTCTGAAAGAAATATGTATTATAGAGAGATAGAAGGGAAAGCAGGTTTTGCCCAACAGAGAGGGTGTGGTCTCTATGGTAGGAAGAAGTGAGAATTATTCAGTAGAGAAGAAAAAACAAAATTTAGTCCAAATGGCTACCTAGAGTGGTGCCTGACAGAAAATTAGCAGAAGAAACAAAAGTATATTTTATAATACATTGATTTTCTGAAACTTTTCTTTAGAGTCAACATTATAACATTAAATATCCTCTCTGACAAGGAGAAGAATGCATGATCTAAGTTGCTGGCACCTGATTAACTGGCTTAGGCACCTGTGGCAATGGCTTTATCACATGCTGGAGTGGTAACATTTCCAGAACCTTTTAAGGACAGAAGTTATGTGAGACAAGGGTATCTGTTACTAGGGTGTGCTTTGAAATAATGCCCTCACAACCAGCTGACAGGAACACCAGCCAAACTAAGGGCTACAAACACCTGATCTGAAGGGAAAGGGAAAAGTTAAAATTAAAAGTAAGAACCTAAGTTGGAGCAATTAACAGCCAGAGATTAATTGCATAGGTGTCTGAGACACCCAATAAATATATTTCCAAATGTACAGTAGATTGAATGATTGGGTTAAAAAATACATTACTTACCTAATACTACCACACAAAATTCATTTCCTCTGATTTTTGATGCACAAATTGCCACAACATAATCTGGTAGCCTTTGGTAGTGTCTCATTTCACTGAGAGTCCTCAAAGTCTCTGAAATGCCCTCTGCCAAAGAGTTTTGGGTCACAATCACATGAACCAAGTCTTGAGATACACTGGCAATTAACCGAGCAAGCCAAGGGAGCTGTCCTGGTGACACAGGTGCACACTGAGCACCCATCTGCAGGGCTCTCTCTCGCAGAGTAAATTCCTGCATAGCTTTCAGCATAATTTGCTCAAATTCTTCCCTGAGAGGTATCTGATCAGGACCTAAGTTGAAGAGAATTAGAGCTAGGATTTTTAAAAAAATCACATCTAGAAAGAAAACACACACACACACACACACACACACACACCCAGTGTGCAGCCCTCCTGCGTCCTCCGTACTCCAACTGGAAAGTATGCTCCTTTTCCCCATAATGGCCCCAAGCATGGAGCCCTTACTAATATTTTCCATTGTGAAATTTCTTTTCTCTCAATATATATATTGTAAATATAGGTTTCTTTTCTCCTTTATTCTAGCACGATGTCTTTAAAAGAGAATGTACTCACAGATATAATCAATTCTATGTATGCCTGGAAGATGGTCATTGCCTATGGCATATTTCTTGACATATTCAACTAGCATCATAGAAATGGTTACCCGACTAATGAAGCGAGAAGTTAACCTGCTGGTCTATAATCAATAGGTTTCACTCATTTCTCATTTTATTCATAGGAATTTGGAAAACATTTAGTGTGCTGCCTCTCTATTTTTGAGAACACGATGGACAGGAAAACTAATTTCAATTATTTTTAATTCCCAAATTATATTTAGGCAGTCTTACACTTTCCCCCAGATAGAGGATGCTCTCATTATCTAGTTATTTCCCTGTGCTCTCAGTTGTTAAGTATAGCATTTGGCTCTCTTCCCCAGCTGTGGTTATGATTAACCTTCTACGGGTGACCTGTGGCCCTGGACTTAGGGGGATTTTGTTTCTCTTTTACAGACTCAACCAGACTTTTGAACAAAATAAGAAAGTCATTGTTCGACATTCAAGTGACACAAATGAGTTCCTACATTTTGTTTAGATTGAAACCATTAAGACAACATTTACTACTACTATTCAGGGTCATTTCTTTTATTAGGTAGACCTGAAATTTGAAATTCAGGTTCTCATAAACAGATTGCAGACCCCTCAGTATTTGCAACTGGAGATTAAGCGATAGCCTCAAAAACCCAAGACTAAAAGCATCTTGCAAAAGAACACGGTAAAGAACTAGACTTCTGTATGGGAAGGAAGCACCTTGCTTGAGTTAGAAATCTTTCCTGTCACATCCCTGCCCATATTCTATGGGAAAGTAAGAAAAATGAAGATTTAGGGATGTATGTAAGGATAAGAAAAATTAAATAAAATACATACTTAAAAAACAAACTATTCAATTGGAGAAAACAGTGTTTTCCTGGATATATTGGAGACCAGCAGGAGTAGGAGAGTAAAATACCCACTGATATCTTTTTCTTCTATACGTGGAAAGAGGGCAAGAAAATTATAATGCTTACGTGTATGTGTTTCCTATATGCTCCCCAATCACTTGCTAGGGTGAAGTGGATGCTTTCTTGTTACCTAGGAACCACCAGGGCTTCTGATCTTCCTTCAATGTTTATCAAATTAGCACCACCCTTAGTGGTCACTAAATATACAGCCAGTAATGAGCTGAAAGTGAATAGATTTGTGCTGACTATACCAGACTGTGGGAAGATAGTCATCTATTTAAAGCTTTCTTTCATTAGAACATACGATAGCTCGAAAGTGTGTGTCTCTAATTTCCTTCACAGTGGACCCAAGACTCAGAGGCCAGGCTGATAGTTGTGTCCATAAGATCCACTATAAACCATGACTGAATAACATGTTCTATTAAGCAGCATGGTTAATTACAAAAATAAAGGCATTCTGGGAAAAGAAAATGATTAAACACATTCACAGCATTCTCTGTTGTCTCAAAATTCAACTTATAAAGATTTAACTGAATCACTATTGGGACATAAGAAGTGGAGAATAATATTTTAAGTTTAAATGAGGTAAGAGACTTCTTAAAGTAAAATGCCTTCTTCCAATCACCTCCCATTACTTCTCATCCTGAACCTTTACAGGTAAATTGCAGAAGCCTTTTCTCTACTTTTCACAAACTCGATAATAGTAATTTTTTTCCCTTCCAGTGCTGATCTCCCGTAACCCAGATCTGATGACTTTTCAGACAGCCACCTTAACAGCAAAAGACAAGGTTCCAACTGACTCAAACCCTTCCAAGAATCTGGATTTGCTGATTTCATTATCTGCTTGAAAAGATTTTCAGATTGTAAAATAGCAGAGTTTTTTTTTTTTTTTAATGACTATAGTAGAAAGGCCTTTTCTTTCTGAAGAGTCTTGATTTTCTTCTTCTCTATTACCTCTAAGTAACTGAGCCATTATAGTATTAGGTCTGTCTTTCTAGAAGTTTGGATTTATTTTTCTAAATTTCTATATATGAAAATATTCTTGATGCCTCCTTAAGCTTCTGAAGGGAAAAAAAAAGTCAAGGACTCCAGAAGAGTCACAATTATTGAGGAACAGAGATGTCACAACATACAAAATTTAGATTAAAAAAAAAACCTTTATTTTGCACACTGAGAGACAAAATTAATTGACTGCAAGTAAAACTCTGGAGAGAAGTAATCGTTCAGGACAAAGAAGACTCTTGTACTAATGAACATATATTTTTTCTATTTTTTTTTAGAGAAGAACTTTTAGTAACTTAAGTGAGACATTCCGTTTTGACCATTTACTTCATCCACTTAATTCAGACTTTGGTTTTTAAATTATTAATAAGATTTAAAAATTCTATATTGGTTTTATATGATATAATAGCATTGCCCTATATGAACTTGAGCTACTGATTCTGGATGCACTTAGAAGTTTTAGATTCTGGAACACAGTTAAGTCAGTAGAAAGCAATTGAAATGATGACATCAAATGAGCTGCAGACCCAGGTGATTTTTATCATTTTATTACTTATTAATACTCATGATTAGCAAGTTCTAAGTTTATCATGAAAGTGATTCATAAGATACCTGAAGCCTTGCAAATGTCAGAAGCCCATGTCAAAGCAGATCCCATGTCAAAGCATGCCTTGGGCTCTCAGGACAACAAGAGTTATAGTGGGGGTGGGGGGGTGGTGCTGGCCGGTCGAAGCTTGTGTGTGTGTGTGTGTGCACGTGCATTTTTTCTCTAAACACTGTTTAGTCCAATGTCTTTTATTTAACGTCAAAGTATTTTCAAATATTAAAAAATTTCATGAGTGTCGATAAAAATACTTACGTGTAGATTTACATCTTAAACATTTTCCTAAGTAAATCAATGGTTTGAAGTCCTGGAGTGAGTGTATAATTAGCCTGCATATTAGATAGCCTAGAGTGGTTTGCAAAATAAAGGACATTGCAATGTAAATGCTGCTAAGCCACATTGTCTGGGCACCTGCATATACCTACTATGGGGCTGTGTGTGGGGCATGTATCAACTGGAGGAAGTGAAGGGTTCATGACCTATGTATCCCAGTAACCCTATAGCCTAGAGAATCTTCCAGGGAGGTCCACAGTAACTACCTCAAATGAAGGAAAGGATGATGGGACTACATCAAAGGGCTGTATCAAGAGAAAGGAAAAAAATGGGGGCGGGACTGTGAATACACAAGATAAAAAGGCTAATTGAAAAACTAGAAAATAATTGTCTAAGGCAATGGTTATATTTACATTCCAGGTGGCAGTTGCTCTCTCAGAAAGGTGAGTTGACCAGACTTTGAGGTTCTGCCTATATCAGCTATTTGGAAGACCTTAGGTCCATCATGAGAGTTAACACTAGGTGGAGCTATTTATCTCTTTTAGGACCCAGACATGCAAGGAGAGGTGCAAAGGCGGCTACAGCAGAAAGAAATTGAGGGCAGGGGTGGAGAGAGGAAAGGCAGGTGGTAGAAAGTAAATGGAAATGAGCAGAAAAGAAATAAGGAAGAGAGAAAAGTCATAGAGATTGGGATTGAAGGAAAACAATGTTAGACATGAGAAAGAGCTAAATTGGTGATTAAGTGTGATAAAGTGAGAAAAAAGAAAAAGTAGGTTTCAAAAAAAAGAATAAAAATTGTCACCATCAAATAATTATTGAAAATAGCTCACCCAGTCGCACAAGATACTGTATTGTCAGAAGAATCATGCTTTCCACACTCAGGAGTTGGCTGCCAGTCAACCCTAATTGTTCCAAATCTTTGTTTTCCAACTGTGGAATCTTGTAGCAGTTCACCAGCAGAGGACTGACAACAATGTCACCAACATTTCCATAGAAGTACGGTAAAGTGCCATAGCCTGCTCAAGAGAAGCGGGTCAATAAAGGTCAACATTTCTTGCTGCGATTCAACCAGGTATGTTGGCTTAACTAGGATCAAAGATGCTTAACAAAGTTCCCTGCCCTCTGAGATGTCTACCAAACAAATCATTCAAATATATTAATCTTAGTGATTCACTTGCATATTCTGAATCTAGTCCTATATTAAATCAGATAAATAGAAAGAAAAATTACTTATATTATCTGTTTCTCACAGGAGGGACATAATATATTTCTGCCATAGAGGACTGATGAAATGATAAAATTTGTAATGATAAAATATTTTTGATAAAATTTCTCATTGTTTCTTTTCAATATGAAATCCGAAAACTATGTCAATATGTTTCACTGATATTTTCTTAAAACATTTTTATGTCAAACTCATTGATCAATAATAACATCCACCAGAAAAGTACTTGGAGAGTCCTACTTCTTTTGCTGTCTTAGCTATCTTTATGTTATTTTTCTAAATGTTAGTAAATGGCCTCAAATTATCTTAGAAGTAGACAGGACAAAAATATGTTGAAAATCAACCTTGCTTTAGTTATATGGTGAAGAGGACAGTCTCTCTCTCTCTGAGTCTTTCTAAAAGACAGACACCAAAGTGCCCCCCATGCTCTACGTATCTTTCCAATGCTTAGTTATACTATTCATGCAACCAAATGCTCAATATAAACCTCCTGACTATATGGAATTTAAACAACTGGGATTCCCCAAGTAGCTACAGGTTCAGGAGCAGTAGATAGGGCAGCCTGATAAACGACAAGACTTGCTGAGTAACTGATAAAGGACAGGACTTGGAGCAAAACCATCCGTGTCAGTAGACTCAAGTCAACCTCAAGAAGCAGATAATGCCTCACATAGATATACCATAAAGATATAATGGGGTTAAACACCCCAACTGTTTCATCTAGAAGGTAAAGCAGATAAGTCTTCCTGGTCTAGGCAAGCTCCCAAATGAGAGAACTCTTGATGTGAGTATGAAAGGCACTAAATTAAGGGACTCTAGGGGTCCCTAAATTTCTGCACCTTTACCTTTACATAGATTGGAAAGACTCAAACTCCTTAAAAATACCGATTCACAGATACGTCTCCATGTTTCATATCTCTAACTGTGGGGCGTCTTGGTTCTCCTGAGTTCAGATGTTAGATAACTTAGCTTGTTTCTTTTTCCTGTGTTTGTGCCTCCCTTAGACCAGAATGTCCCCTTCGTTAGCTGTCTACTCTTGCAACCTTGAGGACCCAGCTGCAAGATCACTTCCGAGAAGTCTTCTTAGACCCCCTTGTGATTCCACAAGGGTGAACCTATCTGGGAAAATTAAGTTTCTTCTCCCCTGGGCTCTTGCAATTCTTGGTTGTGAATCTCACCAGCTCAATTACACAGAGTGCTGTCATTTTTATTTATGTGACAGCTCCCTCACTAAACAGTGCTCCTTGTGGGCAAGAGACTGCTTTATTTGCAACTTCTAGTTTACATATTTAAGATAGAATGACGGAGTTGACTAATAAAAGCTAAAAGAATCAAATATGGGGCCTCCCCAGTGGCGCAGCTGTTGAGCACTGGGTTGTGAAGCTGTCCACAGCCTCTGCAGTGCCGGTTCAATCCCCGGCCGCCGGCAAGGGTCCCACATGGTGCACAGACCTCTCCTGCCTCCCACTGCTCCCCTCAGCAGTGTATTTCGTCAGTCTGCCTGTTCTGCTCTCCCCTCTGGCTCTGGTGGATTCTCTCAGCCTCCCGCGCTTCTGACTGTACCCAGTGCTTGTATAAATAAATAAATAAATAAATAAATAAATAAATAAATAAATAAATAAATCTTAAAAAAAAGAATCAAATATGTGTCAATGAATACATGAATAAACAAACAGTGAAATGGAGAAACATTTAGACTCCGGTGGATACAGGCAACTTGGAATTCCTTTGCCTTACCTATCAAAATTACTGGTCTAACTCCTGAGTTACTCAGCAAGTTTTCAGGAACAATTACAGTTTCCCCTGCAGGAATGGGTCGAGGTTGTAAAATTCCAGTTAATGGCGTCTGTGGAACTGGGGCAGATAAAAGGGATTCTGGAAAAAAAGTTGTTGACAAGAAGGATTAAACATGAAAGCTACATTTAGCTTCAAATTAAAACAACTTTAATATAATACTTAATATTTTTAATATAGATGCTGTGGACATCTAATAGTTTTTTTGCTTTATTAATAAATCAATTACATTTATTATATAAACTTAGAAATGAGAAAAACAAAAAGATGAACCACAATTACACTATCTGAAGATACCTACTTATTTAACATCTTAGTACTTTTCCTTGTAAATGTTTTCCACACGCCATCTTTTGGATTCTGTTTTGTAACTTATCTTTCCTCCCTCGATTATCAAGGGAGGAATATAACTATCATTATAGAAAATTTGAAAAGTGCAGCAAAGTATGAAGAAGGAAATACTCATCATTGTACTACTTAGAGGCAATCATGGTAACATATTGGCATAATTCATTGTGTACATAACATCTCTATGTAATATTTAAACTATTTATGTAAACAAAAAAAGGTTTAAAGAACACTATCCATATCATAGAATTGTTATGCCTACATTTGTCAGTGTTTATTAAAGCAAGGTAGATGAATATTTGAACATTTAACTTAGGCACTAAATGGCCATAGCTTTAATATAATAAAGAAGAACGAGTTTGTTTTTCAGATTCCTAGCCACAGGTTGAACTATCCAGGACAGAAATAATATCACATAAGGAACCAGATCACAGAAGGAAGGAACAGGTCACAGAAGGAACCAGATCACAGGAAAACACATGTAACACCATCATCGGCAAAGCAAATCCATTTGTGAGTTGGTAGCATCATGCCCTATGTAAAGAAAGGCTTATAGATCCTATAAGCTAAAACAAAGCCAGATTCTGAATTAAGATCTGCTGTGATGGCACATGTGCTTATAGAGTAGGAAGATGTGATGGGACCAAAATATTAGCTACTACAAATATCCTGACATAATATTAGATACAGTGCTTGGTTAAGGAAATGTATCGCCAGGGGTTCAGGGAAAGAACAGCTGTAGAAGATACCTGTGTTAATTTAGGGAAACTTAAAATCCATCTTCTGTTGAAATCTTACCAGTTCTTGAAAGAGGGCGAACTGCAGGAACAGGTACAACTAAACCAGGTTGGGTCACAGGTGACCCAGGATACCATCCTCGGTGTCGTTTCTTTGGTGGTCCGGAAATGAACATGGCAGCTGAAAATAAAAGGAAAGTTGAACCTTGTCCTCAGCAAGGGAAGAAAGGAAAGAAGCCAAGTAACATAGGACCTTTTTTTTTTTTTTTTTTTAAGATAGGACCTTTAATTTGAGTATACCTAGAAAGTCTAAGTCACTCTTCTGGAGGTAAAGGTAAAATTAGAAAAAAAATCACACTAATTATACCACCTAACATCTGTATACTGTTTCACAATTTATAGTTTTACCCAGGTTATTTCATTATGATTCCATTAACAACCTTGTGAAGTGACAAGTGACAAGACAAGTATATTACTATATCCATTTTTTTTTTTTTTGTGGGACCCTCACCGGCGGCCAGGGAACGAACCGGCGCTGCAGAGGCTGCAGGCAGCCTCGCAACCCAGCGCTCAACCGCTGTGCCACCAGATGAGGCCCTATTACTATATCCATTTTGCAGATGGAGATAGGAAGGCTCAGATTTGCCTAAGATCAGTCAATAGAGAGGAACTTTGAATCCGGTTCTTTGGTCCATGGTTTTTCAGGATATTTTCTCATACATTTGTTTCTACTTTATTTCCTAGATAGGTTCATCCTTGTGGAATCATCAAGATATTTAATCATTACTGTTTATACCAATTGCAAATTTTAAAAACACTATATAGCAAGCTAAGGAAAAACTCTGGGAATGTGCTGTTAGATGATTCATTATTCCAAATTCTGCAGCACTTTTATAATTAAGTTCATTACTTCAGAATTCTAGGAAGGGTACTGTACCTTGGTCTCCTGAGGCATAGCTAGGTCTTGGTGACAAAGAATAATTTCCTGGACGTGCGGGAGTTGAGCTTGATGCACTGCTCTTCCCTCCATGGCTACTGTTTCCATTCGCAGCATCTGTAGCACAGGAGAGGAGCCACTCAGAACAGAGGTGGGCAGGATACTGCTTTCTGTGATTCTGTAACCATATGATAAACCTCACACTCTAGGATCCAAAGATATCTCACTGATAGGACTCAGCCCAGTTATAAAACCAACTATAATAATCAGAACAGTACCTATATTAAAATGAAAGGTGACCTAAATTTTTTTTTAGGACTCCAAGTGATCTCTTAGAATTTTTTATAAGGAAAACTTTCAAACTTTGTAGTATGAAAAATTTCAACCACATACAAAAGCAAAGAGAATTGTATAATAAACTACATACCTGCAACCCAATTTCACCATTTATCACCACATGGCCAACCTTTCTTTATACTCTCTATCTCTTCCTCCCAACCCACATACTCACATACATGCTTTTAATTATTTTGAAACAAACACATTTATCACACCACTTAATCCATAAATACATTTGTATGTGTTTCTAAAAGTTACTCTTAAAAACGAAACCATAATGTCATTATTATACTAAAATTAACAATGATCAATAATTCTTAATATCAAGTATTCTATTATAATTCAAACTTACCCTAATTATCTCAGAAATGGTTTTTTACAACTGATTTGTTCAAAGTGGGATTCAAAAAAGATCTGCACATTGAATGTAGTTGCCATGCCCCTTAAAATTCTTTGAATCTATGGGAGCCCCTTATTATTAATCTGCAAAAAAACCTGGCAAGTTAATAGATATAGAGACTTGCTTAGATTTTGATTTTATATTTTTATAACGGTATCTCATAGGAACTCTTGTATATTTCCATAAGGGCAGGTTTCTTCTCTTCTTGTGATGTTAAGATTGATCAGTGGGTTCAAAAGTTGTTGGCCTAATCCTCATATTACAAAGATGCTCATTAGCCTTCACCTGATGGTTTTAGCAAACATGAAGATTATTTCCAAGATCTATAATTACATTAGTGTTTTTAATGCTCTAAAATTTTTAATTCAGTTTGTTCAAGTCTAAAATCTAACCAAAAAGTAGATCCTGTAAGAATTATTGCGAGAGAGTAAGAACAAAAGAGGTTTGGATAAATTATGATGCCTAACTGTTGGAAAGTTTCCAAGAATGATAGGTTTTCTCTCTCTCTCTCTCTCTCTCTCTCTTTAAAGATTTATTTTAATTTTAATGCATACAAGAGCTGGGGTACAGGCCAGAGGCGGGGGGTGGGGTGAGAAGACTCACCAGAAACAAGTGGGGAACAGAACAGATGGACTGACCGAAACGCACCGCTGAGGGAAGCAGCAGGTGAGTCAGGAGAGGTCTGCTGCGCCATGTGGGTCGCTCCCTGGCTGGGGATTGAACTCGTGCTGCAGTGGCTGTGGTCAGTCTCATAGGCTGCGTCGTAACTCCCTTCGCCACCAGAGAAGCCCAGTTCTCTTTCTCTCTTTACCTTTCAGATCATCCCTTTTTCCTAAAACATTAGCATTTTCTAGGACACTATCCTTACTTCACAGCTTGCCTTATCCTGCCACTCTCCTTGATAGATACTGTTTATCCTGATAATTTTAACCACATATTGCTGGCTCAACTTACACTGTCAGTCCTGATTTCCCCCTACAATGACTGTTGAGCTGCTCCATTTGGATGTCTCATGGGTATTTCAAACTCAACAAGTTTGAAATTAAATTCCCTCTTTCCTCTTGGGGAACCTGCTCATCATCTCTGAACTCTGTCTCAGATAATGAGACCATGGCTAGCCCAAAAAGAGAATGTCAACATATATCCCATCTTTGGCTTTCTGCTAAGATTAATCATTCAAGTCCTGCTGATTTTTCTTCCTGAGTATTTCTCCAATCTGTTCCCTCTTTTCAAATCTATTACCACCATATCCAAGGACCTTGTCATTTCTCACCTACACTGATAAAATGACATCCAACTAGTTTTCCTATCTCATCTGTTTTGCTACTGAAAACAGTCTAGTACAAGTTCACATCAGACCAGGTCTCTCCTCTGTTCCATAGGTTTAGAGTAAAGTCATGCTTTCCAGCCTGGCTTCCTGTGACCTTTTCCTTGCCCACCACTTGCTCACTTCCCAACAATTCCCTGAATTTCGCATTTTATGATCCTAACAAGACCAAACTGATAGAAAGTTTCTACTCATACTGTGCTGCTTCTTTTCTTTTCAAGCTTTGCCCTTGCTTTCCCCTGAAATTTAAATGCCTTTCTCCTATTTTTGGTATAGTGAATATATCCTCTTAATTCAAGACCAAACTTCTCCAAGAATTAATTCTCCATTACTCCCTAAAACGTCAGGTTTAACCCCCCTCTTCCAAGCTCCCCTAGCATATTTATATAATTACTATAGTACACTCAAAATATATTGTAATAGATCATCTTTGCTATTAGGTTACAAGTATATTAGAAATCAGGAATTGAACTGTATTTATCTTTGTATCCCTAATTCTTCACCACAGCAGTTAGCCAAGAAATGTTTGTTGAATGGAAGAATGGAATCAATCCATTCTGTCGCTCCTCTGTCCTGAATGTCATTCCTGGACTCTTTGGGTTGCAATACAGAGAATACAAAGCTTTGTCTAACAACACATTACACAGATAGCCCTATTTCCACTTTCAACTGGCGAAGAAGCAATTGACTTCTACCAAATTGTCAATTAATTTCCACACAAGTCTTTTGTAGACTGTATTTACCAAAGAAATAAAAGTGAGGAAAACATCACCTGCAGCAAAAGTCTTCCCTACAACCTGTAAAGATAGAGCTAGTGGTTTCACAACATTCTTATTCCGGGTCAGGTCCTGAGCGCCACTCAAATTGATTGCAGAGTTAGCTGGATTGAGAATCGGTGAATCTTTAAAATGAAAGAGGTCATTCAAATTAGCAACTATTTATATATGCAGGAAGAAAATTAATTCAATAAGAGTGAGGTGAGAAAAAGCAGGTTATGAAATTTTGATTTTTTTCCTTGAGTTTATTTAGCATTTTAGAAAAGTCAATTCCTCTGATTTCAGGGTTTTTTGTTCTTTTTTAATGTACTTAACAAATACTCACCAGAAGTTAGTATGCACTGGATGTTAGTGTAAGCACTTTAAATATATCAGTTCACCTAATCCCTGTAAGAACTCAATAAGGTAAGTATTATTACCTTAAACAGTGGTAAACATTTACTTTGGTCAAAATCAGATGATGTGGCGTCAAATGTATCAATATATGCTATATTAAAACTATCTTCACAGTTTCCCATAAAGCCATATTTTAATGATTCAAATATATTTATCTTTACATGAGTTTGTCATTTAAGAGGTGGCATAAAAACTAAGTCATTGCAATCTAAGAGAAAACATTTTTCTCTGAAGAAATTTTACTTTAATTTTTAAAATAAATTAGAATTGATTTATCTATATAACACCAGATATACCCAAAGGAAAGTTACTATTTTGATTCAGAAAATAATTTCAGAAAATCACATTTCATTTCAGAGAAAAGCTATGGGAGAGATTAAGATTTAAGCCAACTAGTTTTTGAAATGAATATAGACCACCAAAACCCTGACTGTACTTCAGCAGAACACTTGACCAATGAAGAGAGGAAAGTATCAGAAGGAATGTTAAAGCTCTGAAATTTTGCAAAACAAAGTGCTCTAAAGAGCAGGATACTAATAGTGGCACATTAGAAATTAGCTAAAAAAGTTGTATTCATATCATTATGCAATCACTGATACTACTAATCATAGCTTCTTATAACACAAAAGACTGAAATGGTATTGCACAAAAGAGTTAATGTGTCTTTCCAAGGGTCCAACTTAACAGTAGGGAGTGATTTTTAAGGTCCACAAGAAGATTAGAGGTCAGCAAATATAACATTATAAAGTCACAGAAAATTGAAGATGGCCCAAGTTTTTCAGGTCTTAATGGAGAGCCTTACATGGTAAGAATCCCAAATAAGTTCACTGTGTTATTACACAGCTTAGCCATTTTGTTTCAGGCCTCAATCATATTGTTTGGAACAAGCAATGCAGTACTTACTATACTACTTTATACTCATAATTTTAACATATTCCTAACAGTTCAGGGAACTATATAGGTGAGATCTGACTGACAAATTATGAAGGGTGGCAATTGACCTTATTTTTTCAAATCAATGGTTGAAATAAGCACAAACTATTTTTTTTTTAAATAATGAAAGGGTACACAACATAGAGAAATCTCTCTCTCTCCATATATGTGTGTGTGTGTGTGTGTGTGTATGTATATGTATATATATGTGTGTGTGTACACATAAACAGTCAATAGTTACATAAAATGTCTAGGAATGAGCTTAATTGGACTACGTATGAAGAAATTATTGGATTATTTCTATATTAAGGTTGTTTCTCCTTTTCAGTTAATATAAAGAATAACTGCAGTGAATATCTTAACTTTCCTTTAATGTTATTTTCTTGCCTAAGCCCTCTGAAAAGAGATTACTAGAATAAAACACATAAATATTTTTATTTTTTCTTATTTTTTATATTAAGTTTTTAATTTTTTACATCATTGTTCATTTTTAAACAATATTTGCTTCCCCCACCCCCTCAGGTGTAGTCCCCATAGAGTTTCCTTCACCAATGCACCCGTGCACCGTCACCTCAGTCCCCTGTGCTCCTCCCTCCCTCCCTCTGATCGCTCTCCCTCCTCCCCTGCAGGATGTCTCTGATTTATAATTGTCCGTTTTTGCTTTGTTGTGTATGGTACTGTTATTATTTTTTTATTTGGTTCCCCTATATTTCTGCTGTAAGTGAAACAATCCGATATTTTTCTTTTTCCTTCTGGCTTATTTCACTGAGCATAATTCCTTCTGGCTCCATCCACATTGCTATGAATGGCATGAGTTTATTTTTTTGATTGCTGGATAATATTCCATTGTGTAAATATACCACATCTTCTTGAGCCAGTCATCTATTTTTGGGAATTTGGGTTGTTTCCAGGTTTTACCTATTGTAAATAGTGCTGCAATAAACATAGGGGTACAGGTGCTCTTTTGAATCTCTGTTTTTGTGTCCTTTGGGTAGATCCCTAGTAGTGGAATTGCCAGGAAATATGATAGCTCCATTTTTAGTAGACTGAGGAACCTCCAGACAGCTTTCCGTAGTGGTTGGACCAGTTTGCACTCCCACCAGCAATGTAGGGGAGTTCCTTTTTCACCACATCCTCGCCAACATTTGTTGCTTGTTTTTCTGATATGTGCCATTCTTACTGGTGTAAGGCAGCATCTCAGTGTGGTTTTAATTTGCATTTCCCTGATTATAAGGGATGCTGAACATTTTTTCATATACCTGTTGGCAATTTGCATTTCCTCTTTGGAGAAACATCTTTTAAGTTCTTCTACCCATTTCTTGACTGGATTGTTTATTTTGTTTTTGTTGAGCCGTGTGAGTTCTTTGTAAAACACATAAATATTTTTAATGTTCCTGTTATATATTGCCAAGCTGCTTTCATAAAAGGTCATAGCACGCTTCATCTCCCCCAGTCTGGCTGAGAATGTCAGTCTTACCATATCCTCCTAGAACTGTATTATTACTACTTGATAGGCTCACCCCTATCCTGTCACACAAATGGTAGATAAGCATATCTCATATGGAGAAGAACATAAACACCGGTAAATTAATAATCTCCCAAGTGCTAACTTCAAATTTAAATAAAAATGGAATTCAACTAATATTTATTTCTAGCTATTTACCAGGTACCGGGGATACCGGGATAAGCAACATAGACAGTTAACATATAATTATAATTGGTAGGAATGTAACACAAGAAGTATACAGCAAGGCTGAGTTAATCCTTAGTTGAAAGTAGGTGTTGGTGTTTTCAGTTTTACAAGTGAGATAACCAAGACACAGAATAATTGAGGGGCTTTTCCCAAGTCTCAGTATTGTCAGGTGTAGTATTTAAACACCAGAACTCTGATTGCAAACCCTGACTGTGCTGTTTACCTTTTGGTCTGAAATAATGCCAATCCCAAAGTACATATCAATAAATTAGACAAGGGAAACAGTACATGCTAAAGGATTTCACCTTTCTCTCAGAGCAGCTTTTTAATCTATTTTTGAGATGTTATTAAGGATTATTTTACATATTATAAAATTCACCAATTTCAAGTGTATAATTCAGTGAGTTTAGTAACTTTCAAGCTGGGCACATACCATCAGTTTTATTTTTTTTAATTTTTTAAAAAGATTTATTTATTTTTGCATAACAAAACTGGGGTTCAGGCCAGAGGTGTGTGTGTGGGGCGGTGGTTGAGAGGATTCACCAGAGACAGAGTGGGGAACAGAACATGCAGATCAACTGAAATACACTGCTGAGGACTGCTGCGGGGATCAGCAGGTGAGTCAGGAGAGGTCTGCTGCGCCACGTGGCTATCTCCCTGGCCTTGGATTGAACTCGTGTTGCAGTGGCTGCGGATAGCTTCATAGGTTGTGTCTTAACCCCTTGCGCCACCAGGGAGGCCCTACCATTAGTTTTAGAACATTTTCATACACCCTCAAACCCCATGAGAAACTTCATGCCTATTTTCAGTTAATTTCTTGCACTAAGCAACCATTATTTCCTATCTGTATAAATTTGCCTTTTCTGGATATTTCATATAAATTAAATCACATAATACATGTTCTCTTTTGTGTTACTTTTACTTAGTATATTTTTGATGTTCATCAACAATGTAACGTGTCAGTCACTTGTTCCTTATTATTGTTGAGTTGTACTCCATTTATGGATACACCACATTTTTGTCTATCCCTTCATTAATTTATTGACACTTAGATTGTTTCTAGTTTTTTACTATAATATATAATGGTGCTATAAACATTTTTTTAAAGATTAATTTATTTATGCATACAAGTGCTGGGGTGTAGGTCGGACGTGCTTCAGTGGCTGCCAATAGCTTAATAGCGCTGAGACTTAACCCCTTCCACCACCAAGGAGGCCCTGTAAACATTTGTATGCAACTTTTTGTGAGGACGTAGGTCTTCATTTCTCTTGGGTAGATATTTTGAAGCAGAACTTCTGGGTAGAACTTGTGTGGTAGTTTATGTTTAACTTTTTGAGAATGTGCCAAACTATAGTCTTAAATTGTTGTCACATTTTAACAATCCTACCAGTCAATTTACCATGGTTCCAATTTCTCCATATCCATAGGCTCTTGTTAATGTCATCATTTTGATTATAGTGATTCTAGTGGGTATGAAGTAGGATCACATAGTTTTGATTTTCATTTCTCCAATGACTAATGATGTGAGCATCTTTTAATGTGCTTATTAGCCACTTGTACATATTCTTTGAAGAAATGTCTATTCTAAATTGTATGTGTTTTGATTAGCTTGTCATCTTATTACTGAATTGTAAGAATTCTTTGTAAATTCTGAATACAAATCTTTTATTAAATGTTTTGGAAATATTTTTTCCTATTCTGTTGCTTGTGTTCATTTTCTTAATGTTGACTTTTGAAGTGTAAAAATTTTGATTTTTATGAGGTTTTTTATAAAGATTTGTTTTATTTATGCATACAAGAGCTGGGGTATAGGCCAGAGGTGTGGGGGCAGGGCGTCAGAGGATTTACCAGAGACAGAGTGGGGAGCAGAACAGGCGGATTGACTGGAATACATTGCTGAGGGGAGCAGTAGGTGAGACAGGAGAGGTCTGCTGTGCCATGTGGGTTAGCTCCCAGGATGGGGATGGAACTCATGCTGCAGTAGCTGTGGGTAACTTCATAGTGCTGCGACTTAGCCCCTTGTGTCACAAGGGAGGCCCTATGAGGTATATTTTAACAATTTTTCTAGAAATAAATCCTTATATTTATCATCACCTTATTTTTGACAAAAGCAATACACTGACAAGAAGATAGTCTGATCAGTAGAGGTGCCAGGACAACTGCATGTTTACACACAAAAAGATGAACTTAGATGTTCACCTCATGCCATACACAAAATTAACTAAATATGACTCATACATAGACTTTAATGCAAGAGATAAGACAATTATATTTTAGAACATAGAAGAGACACTTTCAAGGTCTTGGGTTAGTCAAAGACTTTTTTCATCTATACTTGAATACTTGTCTTTATTAAACATAATATATATTACATATAAATACATGTGTTGTATGTGTGTATCATGTGGGTAGCTAACTATATAGCTACCTTCAGTCAAAATGACAAAATATTTTACTGGATTGTTGATGAAATTTTGAATCATCAATGACATTAATATGTTGAAAGAAAATATGCAAGGACAAGTGGCAAATCAGCCAGAACAGAACATTCAGTACTTGGCAGGTGAAACTCAAGACAAAACTGTGTGAATAGTAAGTTGATCCTTTTTTCAAATACTATGCAATCTGTTACCTATCCTTCAGGCCAAGAAACACTGATTATAGGCAGTAACTGATTGCAGATTAAGAAGGCAAGCTCCCAAGAAGCTAAGGAGGTGGTACATAACCCAATGTTTGCAATGTTATAATAACACATTTATGAAATTCTTTCAGCCTATTACTTTCAATATGTGTAGGAAGAAATTATTGTTGAAGAATCCATAGACATAATTCACCAAGAAGAAAGCTATAGACATAAAGTCTCACTCTCAAAGGCACTTTCATCTATTAAATTCTCTAGATGACATCTTAAATTGTTAATAACTATTTCATGATCATATTACAACTTTCACCCTCACAGGGATACACAAGAACACTGACACAACATTGGTCCTTATATTCCTTGTGAGTCAGTCAGTGCCATGTCTATGTTCCTTCATGGTAACTGAGGGAGTCTTTGCTAGAGCCTGAATGTTGAATTCCTTTATTCTGAGCAACACATTTTGAAAATATTTTTCCTGGTATGATTAAAACTGCATTACTGCTTAATACATTTCAATATATTTTCATTATTTTAAGGTACAACAGGTTACTTAATATTCACCTCTTCCTCTTTGGAAATGTAATATATTTTATTGCTCTTTTACCCTAATGTGAGTGGTTTTTAAATCTTCAAATGAAGCCATCAGTCAAGTATTAGAATCCTGCCTTGTGGCATTGGACACACGTCTTAGAATATAATAAATACACTTGATAAGTTTTTGTTGGACTGAAGTAAATACTTATTTTTAATAGTATTGTTTTTAAATTATGTATTATTAGCCCCTAGGTCTAATGGTAGGAAGTATATCATGGAATAAATTAATAAAACAAAAATCTAAAAGAAACATATAGGTTTAACATTATTGTAATGAGAGTTAATCCTTCAATGCCAAGAGTTAAATGCCAACTCTTTTTTTTTTCACTTGAATACCTAAGAGACTTGATATCCTCACACTTATTCTAAAGAGATATGCTCTATCATCTTAGAGCACAGCCTCTATTTAAATGTCTCAAACTACTTAAAAAATAGACTTTTAAAATTCGGGATGAAGTAGAGATAGGTGAACATATAGCAAGAAGTGCCTTGCTATAAATGGTTGCTATTGTTCCTAACCCACTCTAATAATTACTTCCATCTTAAAAATAAGTAGAAAAAGTTAGTAGCTCATCAGAATTTCATATAAATTTGAGAGAGAAATGCTTAGTGAAAAAAATGAAGACAGCCTTCAACTTGTGGTTGAATGGACACTGGCAAAGCATGTGTACTATGAAGATTACATATCATATGAGTAAAACGGTATTTCACAAAAACAAGTAAACAAAAAAACTATGAATTCTTTTAACATATTTTCCTTCTTGTCTAAGTTATTACCTAAACTGGTTCTGAATAATTTTCTCAAATCTTATCTGCATAGATCTTATCAGTTATAGCCCTCCAGCCTTTCAGCCACCTGGAAATATTAAGTCCCACCTGGAGCCTCATCCTGACCTCAGGGCCTGGGCCAATGCAGGTCTCTATGCTGGAGGAATTTTTAGAAGCCTTAGACTTGTTACTTATCTGTTCAGTACCAGATCAGCTACTCTGCTGATCCTGCTCTGATATCATAACCTAGAAGTTAAAGACACTAAAATTTTATCTGGGTATTTGTAGCCTAACCCCTCTCTTGTACCACTAGAAATGAGATCCTCTTCCATTGTGATCCTCAGTCTTACCATGGGTCCTTATTTTGTTTTGTTGTGTTGTTTATTTTATTTTATATATTTATGCATACAAGAACTGGGGTATAGGCCAGAGATGTGGGGCAGATGACAGAGTGGGGAGCAGAAAAGGCAGATCTACTGAAATATACTGCTGAGAGGAGCAGTGGGTGAGGCAGGGGAGGTCTGCTGCACCATGTGGGTTAGCTCTCTGGCTGGGGATTGAACTCATCCTGCAGTGGCTGGCACTAACTTGATAGCACTGAGACTTCAACCCCTGTGCTGACAACATGCATGGGACTTTATTTTGTATACCAGTTGGTAAATATTCCTTACAGTGTTCAGTAAGCTTAGAGTCCTACTGGGACTCCAGTCTTAATGAGTATGTCCTAATACATGCCACCAAATAGTTATGAGTTTTCCTCATGTTTAGATTTCCACTTATTGACAACTGTTAGATGTCTTTAGAGACTAAATTTTCTACCAACTGTCAGTTCCTTTCTCCATTCCTTGCCTTGTAGTGATAGGACTATTGGGACTTGGGGTCCTGGTGACCCACAGACTTACCTGGTAAATGCTGAGTTTCAATTCTAATATAACTCAATTAATAGCTCCATTGAAAAATATCTCTTTCAAACCAACCAGCAATAATTTTAAGCTACCTCATTAAATATTCATTTGCAGCTTAAAATCCCAAAAGAAAATACCCCATACCTGTCTGAATGAATCCTGATTTATATCCATTTGTTGTGCCATTTTCTGAGGTCACAGTTGATGACACTGAAGAGTTTGGTTTAATAGAATGGCAAGCAGTGGTGGATTGTCGGCTTCTACATTCTGGAAGGAGTAAGATCATATTGTGATCTTTATGTTTAAAACAGGTCATGGAACACATTCATGGACTCTCTAAAATAATTTGCTCCTTAAGTGACAGTAATTTCCCAATGAATGCTCAAGATGGTGACCACAATTTGCCTCCTAGATCAGCTGTCATGTGTAGAAGGCAAAGAAAAGGTTATAAATTACAATTGCATTTTTCTATTTCAGAGACTAGATCTTGGGAAAAAATTACTCATAGTGAACATAATCACACTAGTTTTTCAGGTAAGACCACAGCTAAAATATCAATTATTTATTTATTTAAAGATTTATTTATTTATGTATACAAGAGCTGGGGTGTAGGCCAGAGGTACAGTAGGGGGTTGGGGGGCTGTGAGAGAATTCACCAGAGACGGAGTGGGGAACAGAACAGGCAGATCTACTGAAATACACTGCTGAGGGGAGCAGTGGGCCAGACAGGAGAAGTCTGCTGTGCCACATGGGCTATCTCCCTGGCTGGTGATCAAACTCATGCTGCAGTGGCTGCTGATAGCTTCTCAGTGCTGAGACATAACCCCTCACACCACTAGGGAGGCCCCCACATTAGCCTTTAAAGGTAGCATGTAAAAGGAATATATAAATGGCTTAAATGACAAAGTTAATTACAGAGTGTGCTGTATAGAGTTTCCAAAGTTTTTCAGGTATGTTAAAGACTAGAGGCAATTTTTTTTAAAAAGATATTTTTATTTATTTATACAAGTACTGGCTACAGTCAGAAGCACAGGAGGGTAAGAGAATTCACCAGAGCCAGAGGGGGGAATAGAACAGGCAGACTGACGAAACACACTGCTGAGGGGAGCAGCAGGCGCGGCAGGAGAGGTCTGTCGTGCCATGTGGGACCCTCACTGGCGGCCAGGGATTGAACCGGCACTGCAGAGGCTGCGGGCAGCTTTGCAGCCCAGCACTCAACCACTGCCCCACCAGGGGATAGAGGCAATTTTTTATAATGTTTTATGCTATGACCTTCCTTGAAGAATTTATATGCACATTGTTATTATGTTTGTATATATGTAATTCTAATTCCCAAATAGCAACTGCTATAAACCATGAGGCTTCAGAATCAACCAGAATCACAGCATCACAAGTGATTTCACAAGTGCAATTCTTTATAAGAAAGGTGAATTATAATTGAGAATGAAATAATAAATTAAAAAATATTTTTTGTAACTAAAACAAAAGTATGTGTATGTGGGGGAAGCAGTTAAAAAGCAGAAGCGTATACCATTTTTATCTTTCATTACTATTTGGACATTTAATATGCTTTCTCTAGAGGAATACCCCTTAAATTTTATTAGGATAATGAGTTACCTGTACGTTACCATGTTTATGACTCAGTGGTCACATGCTTTAAGTTCCAATGATACTTGGTAAGGAACATGCAGTCATTTCCCAAGGAGTCAAATGTCATTTTGAATGTGACCAAGAGTAATTATGGTGAAGAACAGATAAATCTGCAGTTGTAATTTGGACTTTTAATGCTGCTTTTCATGTTTAGACCAAAATCATGCACAGACAAACATGACATTATATTGAAAATTGTTATGCCATCTTTATTATTATAATAATATTAATAATTAAGGGGGAAATCGGCATCTAAGAAACCACTGAAAAGTGTAATATCTTCCACTGCATTAATGCAACGAATGGACCTTGTGGCAAATCCTATTAATCACACAAAGGTGTGAAATTTCATGTGCATTCATTTCTATAAGTTAAATTCTTCCTCACTTGAAATAAATAAAACCACCAACTTAATAATGCATTCTCCAAGGTATTATGATGAGAATTATTTATTCTAAAGCATGTTGAATTTTAATTAAAATAGAAAAATATAGCTGCTTGAGAATTACCAAAGAACCTAAATAAAGTAGAAAGACCATTTGTTCAGAAAAGTGACACTTTGAGGTAGGTACTCAAGTGACATAAGAACTAGACAGAGTCCCACTTTTTTCTTGAGACCTGTACTCCACCCACCCAAGAGACAAATACAAAGACACTTTCATCAATCTGAAAAGTCTCTATTAAAAAATAAAAAGGAGCAAGTCAAATAACCCCTGAGATTTGCACTTTTGAATAATCTGTTGAGTATGGGGTATTTATCTACATCACACCTGGACTCTGGACTCCATATGGATCATTTGTCTTTATCATAACACCCTCACTCCCTTCTCTTTCCCTTTTGGGAACTGACCTACCTTTCCAGCAGATAAGCGGTCCCTTTGACAGCACACCTTGGGAGCTTCTGACTAGGTAGTACTTTAAGTGCTTCTGCTTCTTTGGCTGTGTGGTGAGCTTCAAGTTAATGTGGTTGGAAAATTCTGTGAAATACCGAAATCCTCTTTCTCCGCAGCCAATGCAGTTTCCAGAAAACCCTGGAAGGAGGAAAACCAAAGTTACTGGTAGCCTCTTAAATTGATACAATATCTTTTTATAGATATATTAATAATATTTGGCTCAATAACTTCCTATTTTCAATGAAGTGATTCAAAGGAAAAAAAAAAAACAGGTAAAGAATTTTAGTACAACAAAAAACCATGAATAGCCAAAGCCCTACTGATGAAAACAAAGGAGAAAGGAAGTATCATACTTCCAAACTTCAAGCTATACTACAAAGCCATAATAATTAAAAAAGTTTGGTATTGTAACAAAAACAGACACACAGACCAATGGAACCGAATAGAGAGCTCAGAAATAAAACCACACTTATATGAACAACTAATCTTTAACAAAGGAGCAAAGAATATGCAATGGGACACGGACAGTTTGTTCAATAAATGGTGCTGGGAAAACTGGATCTCCAAATGCAAAAAAATGAAACTAGACCACTACCTCTCACTGTGCACAAAAATCAACTCAAAATGGATAAAAGAACTAGACATAAGACCTGAAACCATAAACTATATAGAAGAAAATATAGGTAAAACACTCTAAGACATATATCTCAGAAACATCTTTAAAGACTAATCACCCAAAGCAGCGCTAGTGAAGGCAAAGATAAACACCTGGGACTACATCAAACTGAAAAGCTTCTGAACAGCCAAAGAGGCATTAACCAAAACAGAGAGACACCCCACTCATTGGGAAAAAATCTTTGCACTCCATTCAACTGATAAGGGACTGATCACAAAGATATACAAAGAACTCACACAGCTCAACAAAAACAAAATAAACAATGCAGTCAAGAAATGGGTAGAAGAACTCAAAAGCCGTTTCTCCAAAGAGGAAATGCAAATGGCCAACAGGCATATGAAAAATGTTCAACGACCCTTATAATCAGGGAAATGCAAATCAAAACCATACTGAGATACCACCTTACACCAGTAAGAATGACACATATCAAAAAAACAAGCAACAACAAATGTTGGCGAGGATGTGGTGAAAAAGGAACTCCCCTACATTGCTATTGGGAGTGCAAACTGGTCCAACCACTACGGAAAGCTGTCTGGAGGTTCCTCAGTCTACTAAAAATGGAGCTACCATATGATCTGGCAGTTCCACTACTAGAGATCTACCCAAAGGACACAAAAACAGAGATTCAAAAGAGCACCTGTACCCCTATGTTTATTGCAGCACTATTTACAATAGGTAAAACCTGGAAACAACCCAAATGCCCAAAAATAGATGACTGGATCAAGAAGATGTGGTTTATTTACACAATGGAATATTATCCAGCAATCAAAAAATAAACTCATGCCATTCACAGCAATGTGGATGGAGCCAGAAGGAATTATGCTCAGTGAAATAAGCCAGAAGGCAAAACAAAAATATCGGATGGTTTCACTTATAACAGGAATATAGGGGAACCAAATAAGACATCAGTGTAAAAAAATCAGTATAAAACACAACAAAGAAAAACAGACAATCATAAACCAGAGACATCCTGCAGGGGAGGAGGAGGGAGAGGGATGAGTGGGAGGGAGGGAGGAGCACAGGGGACTGTGGTGATGGTGCATGGGTGCCTTGGGGAAGGAGATTCTATGGGAACTCAATCTGAGGGGGTGGGGGGAATCAAATATTGTCTAAAAAAATGTAAAAAATGATAAATGTTAAAATAAAATAAAATAATCCATAATTATTCCATCCCCCCCAAAAAAAAGAATTTTGGTACAAAAAATCCTTAGCAATTATTTTAAAACAGTGAAAGATTGAAAATGAGTAAAAAACTGCTCCAAAAGTATAATGGTTAAGGAAACAGCGAATATATTGTGTGATAGTATTTATTCATTTGACAAAGTATAAAAATGTTTGGTCCTAACGATGTTTATTACATCTCCCCCTCCATACTCTTGTCTCTGAACTTTCTAGTCCAAACTCTGTTTCTTGCCCTACTGCAACGTGGGCTTGCCTCCATGGCCACAGTTTATTAGATTATAGACTCATATCTGACCTAGTCTTGGACAGTCAGAATTTGTCTTCTGGAATTTAAAATAAATATAAAAAGAGTCTGTCAAATGGTACTGAATTTTTAAGATTTTATAAAGAGGAAATATAAGTTAAGGTATGGGGAGAACAAATTTTGAACTGTGAAGAGGAGGCTGTTCTGCAGAGAGAGCAACATGGACAGTGATTTGTACATGCAGCATTGTCAACCTTCCAGTTTCTAAGAGATAGAACTGTACTTTATGGCATGAGTTTCCTGAAATTTCCATTTCCTCTTTATTCAACCCCCAGTTACTCAAACTAGTCTGTTATTATTTTAGCTCTAGCATCCAAACAAATTTCTCACTCAGATTAATCAAACAAAATAAAACTAAACAATTATTTACAACAGGGGACATAGAGTAAGAAATGGAGAAAACTGGGAGGATGAGTAGCCATGCTTTCCTTTATTGAAAATCCACTTTTCAGTCCCCTCTAATTCACAGAGGAAAAGGAAAAGTGAGATCATCTGGTTGTGACTGATGAGACATAACAAAACTAACAAGTATATATTAAGGAGAGAAGAATAAAGCAATCAGGATTAAAGACAGAATATCACACAATATGCTAGTCACAGGATACTGACAATCAACTCAGAGTATTTAGAAATGGGCAGTTCCATTTGTTTTTATTCATTTAACAATTATCAATTGAGCACCTACCAGGTGTCAGGCATTGGAATAGCCATGATGAACCCACCTACCCATCCATCCATCCATCAATCCATAAATCGATCCAACCAACCATTCATCCATGTATGCATCCATCCATCCATCCATCCATCCATCCATCCATCCATCCAACAAATGCTTATTGTACTCTATTATGTGCTACTTACTGGTTCAAGTATGAGGTTTTTGTACTGAAGAAAGCAGAAAAACCCCACTGCCTCCCTGGTATTTACATTCTGGTTTGATCCTCATGACTTGATGGAAAACTGCCTTTACTTGTGAGGCAGATACAAAACACAGTAAAAATCTACAAGAGCGGGGAGGGGGGGAATTGGAGTCAAAATAAGGGGGTCGCAATTGTATGGGGAATATAAAAATAAAATTTATAATAAAAAATGTACAAGAGCCTTTCAGTCAAAATAATTAAAGACAGTGCCCTCAAACAAGCTTATTTGATATATCCCATTAACAAATTACTGGGACTGGGTTTATATTTTATCTTTTCCTCTACCTATTGTCTGATGTGGGGGAGAAAAAAGGAGTGAGGAAGTAGAAAAGCAGTAGATCTGGATAATCTTCAAAGAAGAGAAACTTCACAGTAATGATGAAAATTAACAATATTAGAGAGTTAGAATCCTGCAGTTCATTTTTAAAACTTTGTATGGTTTCAGTGTTAGCTCTGATGTGGTACAGATTTTATCTGCTCAAAGTTCTTGCTGTCATGATCATAAAAATAACACCTCTTACAGCCAAATTACCTTTCTAGTTTTTCTGGCAATCAAGTCTTCCAATTGCATGGTAGATTTGGGACACATGCACTGCCAACTGGATCAATATATATTTTAATCAATTTCCCCACAGTCTTTGGAATCTGCATAATTTATATAAAAATTTAGACAAATTGATATTGACATCCACAGGGATTCTAGAATATTTGAAGCTTATAATTTTCCCTACTATGTCTTAATGCATACTAAAAAAAATCCATCATAAGTAAGAAATGTTGGATGAATATTAACTTTTGGATAATAGAGTACTGAGTATATAAAAATCTTAACAATATACTTGTCCAAGAAAAATAACTTCTATCATTTTGTTGCATTACACTGTTACTTGGAGAGGTAATTAGTAAAAATTTATGTTCACTCACAAGCCTCGAGAAAATAAGCAATGCTCCAAGCTTATATGGGTATTTAATAATATGATAAAAATGCAGAATAACTATCATTTAAAAGCAACTATTATGTGCCAGGCACTGTGCTGGGTGGGTGCCTATAAATATCATTTCATTTGCAAGGTTAGCATTATTGGTAATTTTATATAGATGATATATCTGACATTTCAAGAAGATAAGTAGTTTGCCCAAGTACTAAGCGAGATATACCGAATTTAGTTATTTTTAAGAGATTTGTTTTTATTTATTTATGCATACAAGAACTGAGGTGCAAGCCAGAGGTGTGTGTGGAGTGGTGGTGAAAAGACTCACCAAAGACAGAGTGGGGAGCAGAACAGGCAGATCTACTGAAATACACTGCTGAGGGGAGCAGCAGGCCAGACAGGAGAGGTCTGCTGTGCCATGTGGGGGATAGCCATGTGGGGGATCGAACTCATGCTGCAGTGGCTGGCGACAGCTTGATAGCGCTGAGACTTTAAGCCCCGTGCCACCAGGGAGGCCTAAGAAGTATGGAATTTAAACTTAGTTCTGATTCCAGAGTCTCTGACCTTTGGTCTCATATTCCAGGTTACATGGGATTATGAAATGTTTTGTTCTCAGGGTGTTATTTCCTTTTCGCGTTGTATTCTTGGAGGACTCCTTTACACATAAAGAATCACTTAACAAAAATGAATTATGGGGAAATATTTCTGTCTGTAGTTAGAGCCATTTATAAACTGTTTCTTTGCTAAAACTATGATGCTTTTCAAATATTAAAAAGTTTTCCAAAGTTGTTCTATGACCGGGTCAACTAGGTCATTAGCTCCGTGAGAGAAAGGGCGATAATTCATCATTTTTGTGTCCTCACATCATAGCATGATTTCTGTTACCCAGTGTATTTTACACAAACACTGTGGAATGAATAAAGGAACAAATACTTGATACTTCTTTGCTAATGTTCAATGTGTAAAATTTGCCATTAGGTTTCTGTAATAAACTATCTCCTCAATTTCACTCAAAAAGTAAAATGAACATTTTTATAAAACATATGAAAAATGAAAATTGCTACTTTTCCTATGAATTAAGAGAAGGCTTTGAACTGTAATTTAAGGAAATTTTGGAATATAAACATGCGTTAACTTCCTCAGTCAAGGCACTGATTTGTGTATTTCTAGACACCAATGACTATGTAAAACTAGGATGAATACATCCAAATAAATAAAAATACATCTCATATTCAATCTAATTGTATTATTTGCCCTTTTCTCTCTTATTTTCTTTTTACTGATATTTTTGCTAAAAACATCTATTTGTCCAGCAACAGTAATAGATATTCTGAGAAACAAGAACAACTCAACTCTAGAAAAAAACAGGAGCAAAAAGCAACAAATCTCATGTGTCTTCATATTTGTTGTTTTAATATTAAAATATCTTTAAAAACAAATCCATTCTGCATTATTTCCCATGATAAAAGGAAGATATGTTGTGGGGTAAAAGTTCAGATTCAAAGTAAGACTAGAAAGTAAAACAATTCTGAGATGAAGCTGTACATTATACATCATCTATAAGACACGCATACATATGTCACTATGTGTCATTTGCAACTAAGAGAGGCTAAAAAAAGTATGATAAATGCAATTTCAGAAAGTTGTGGGAGTTGGAAGAAGAAATAAATATATATATTCCTAATTGTCTTGTGTGAACTAATGTAATCAAGTGCACTTAGAATTGGTGGCATTGCAAAATCATAAATAACTTACAAAGTGGAATAATGAGAGTTGAATAATTGAGAGTTGACTTGACATCAGACCAATAATGACTCTACTTTGGTTTTTAAAATATTTCTTTTTGATAACTCTCAATGTTATCAAATGTTAAAAATGACAATTAATTTTTAAGAAGTTGCTAATAGAAAAATATCTCATACTTGAACTAAACCATAATATGATTTTTTCAAAATTCTGCCACAATTTAAAATAAACTTGCATTTTAACACTACCTTGGAAGGAATTTTATGAGCATGAAATACTCACCTAAAAGTGCATTTTTTCCATGATCATCTGGTAGAAATCGCTTGTCTACAGCACACACAAGGATGTGTTCAGGGAGATTGGGAGACTTAGCCCCAACCAGAAGGAATCCTGCTGGGATGTCGATTTGTTCCATACACAGAGATACCAAACGCAAATCCTTTCCAGCTTGACAAAAACCTAAAACCCAGTTAGAAGGACACAGTGAAATATAGAGAAAGGTCATATTTTTTTTTAAATAATAAATTTTATTTTTATATTCCCCATGCAATTGCAGCCCCCCCATTCTGGCCCCAATCCCTCCCCTCCCACCCCCCCACCCCCAAAAAGTGTCTCTGGTTCATAGTTTTTTGTTGATTTTGATTTTCACTTTCTTATAGTTATTCATTTTCCTGGTCCCTTATTTTATCACCTATTTGGAGAGCATATTTACTTGTTGGAATTACTAAATTTAAGATTCCTTTGTCATAAATTAACTGGCCTATATAAAAAAGTTCAGAAACAAATGTTGGCAAAGGTGTGAAGAACACGAACCCTCATTTACTGCTGGTGGGTATGTGGACTGGTCCAGCCCCTCTGGAAGACAGTATGGAAGTTACTCAAAATATTAAAAATAGATCTACTATACGATCCAGCAATTCCACTATTTGGTATTTATCCAAAGAACACAAAAACATTAATTTGAAGGGATATATGTGCTATTTGCAGCACTATTTATAATAGCCAAATTATAAAATCAACCAGTGTCCAACTACATATATATATATATATATATATACACACATATATATGCAACAGACTACTCATTTTATAAAAAAAAAAAAAGATGAAATCTTGCCATTTGTGACACACGAATGGATTATGCTAAGTAAAATAAGAAAAAAGGAAAAAGGCAAATTACTGGATGATTTCACTCATACTTGAACTATAAAGAAACAAAAAAAAGAACAGACAAAACCAAAACAAAACAAACCTAGAAATATGATTACAGAATTGAGGCTACCTGGGGGAGAGAGGAGGGTACGAGTGGGGTACAAAGGAGGGAGGTCAGGTCTAATGGATTCTGGGACAGGATTATGGGTACCTTGGTGGTGGGTGTGGTCTGGTAATATACATATGAAATGTGTGAACCTATACCCTATGTCATATACAGTGTTATAAACCAATACTACATCAATGATAAGTGATAAAAATATAAATTGCATACATTCCAATCAGAAGACAAATCTAATCATATATGTGCCCCTCTGAGCAGTTTTGAAAACACCCTAAAAGCAGGTAATTCCATGGGATTTATATTTTATATTTAACTTTGTATTTTCTGGTCCACAAACAAGGAAATGATAAAACAAAGCAAACTTTGGAAAATACCGTAACTTTTAAGGTGCAGACTATAGTATTTTTGCTTTCAATTAAAATTCACTTCTCTAAATGGAATGACATAGGAAAAGACAGGAGCTCAGTTTGGTGACTCATAAATGATGGGACTAGAATAGAACTCAAAGCTAGTATTTTCGCTAGATATGACAAGACAAGACATCTAAAATCTTACGTAACTACTGTGTATATATGATTTATTACACTAAGTCATCAGGTCATCCTTTACATCAGGTCATCCTTTATTAAAAACGATTTGCAAAAGATGCTCTTCTATGCCTGAAGAAAAGATTGAACAAAATATATCTTCTCTTAAGAGCTCACATTATAGCCATTTGTAAGAATGTATAGGGAGCTGATCATCACAAAACAGTATTACAGAGAGCAGCTATTTTCCACTGGAAAACACCAATCTTCACATCTTTTGAAAAAATGATACAACCTGTATTCTGATCATGTGATTCTCCTGGAGAGCTGTGATAGTCCTTGCTCTGTGACAGAAGTCTGTCAGTAGTGATGAGGGTTGGGAGGTGGTTGAAGAATGTTCTGAAGCCCAGTTTTATCTGCCTTTCCTATGGTTTGGTCATGAAATCTTGTGTTTTGGAATTTTTCTAATAACTTCATATTACCTAAACTACTCTATGTTGGGGTTAGTCATTTATATTGTGCACCAATATGTTTCTAGGACAACAACAGCAACAAAAATTCAAGAAAAGGCTTCCCTGGTGGCACAGGGGTTAAAGTCGCAGCACTATGAAGCTAAAATCATGGGGATACAGTCACTGCTGCACATGAATTAGATCCCCTGCCAGGGAGCTACCCACATGGCACAGCAGGCCCCTCGTGTCTTGCCACTGCTCCCTTCAGCAGTGTATTTCAGTAGATCTGCCTGTTCTGCTCCCCACTCTGTCTCTGGTGAATCCTCTCACCCTCCACATCTCTGGCCTACACCCAGTTCTTATATGCATAAATAAATACAAATAAATCTCTAAATTAAAAAAATGCAAGGATAAAGTACAAATTTAGTGATTATATTCTAATTTGGATTTTCATGTGAGGGAAAAACACAATCTCTTTCAGCAGAATGTTATTTGCAGAGAAATTCCACAAACAGTAGCCAGAAACATTTTCATCATAGAGAGAAAAAAATGCAAAGATTATAAAAATTAACTTCTAAAATATAGAAATTCTAAAATTTGGATATTAATAGTAGATTTTGACTTTTTTTTAAAGATTTATTTATACAAGAACCAGGGTACAGGCCAGATGTGCAGGAGGGTGAGAGGATTCACCAGAGACAGAGCAGGGAACAGAACAGGCAGACTGACGAAATACACTGCTGAAGGGAGCAGTGGGCGAGACAGGAGAGGTCTGCTGCGCCATGTGGGTTTCTCCCCAGCTGGCCGGGATAGAACTCGCGCTGCAGAGGCTGCAGACAGCTGCAGAGGCTGTGGACAGCTTCACAGTACGGTGCTCAACCACCTGCACTACCAGGGAGGCCCCAAATTTGACTTGTTTTTGAGCCTGGAAAACATTTAAATATACTTGGCTTCCCTTTTAACCCCACCAAAAGTATAACATTTAAAAAATATATGTCAAATAAACCTTTCTGCTTTAAGTCAATTCTTCATTACAAGCCATGTAATCATACAATTAGTTTTTAAAACCCCAAAAGGGTTTAGATGATGATATATTACTCTAGGAGAGATTTGTGAGTCAAAGATTGAGTAACACTAATCAACACCAATTTCTTTGGTATGTGCATGAGGATACTAGGGACCATAAAGGTTGAGAAAATGGCCCACAGTCAAATATAACAGCAAACAGAAAAGCTGGAATTGGAAACCAGATCTCTTGACTCCAAGTTAGAGGCTCCTTTTATCATCATTAACATCTCTCTCACTCATATAATGCTCCATTTACCTTCCCTTAATCTGATGTAAGACACTCTCCCATAGCTTCTTCCTTGCTTATTTTCCTAAGTGCTGTCACCCAAATTTCTAGGCTGAAATCTGGTGGGCACTTGATAAATCAGCCCCCCCCCCCACCCACAGGTTATGTCAGCATCCAATTATCTCATGCTTGCTGGTGAGTCCTTAAAATTCATGGCTTTGCGAGTCACAAAAGTGACTGTGATCAGAGAGTGACATTTCTTTTTCTTTTTCTTTTTTAAAATATTTCTTTATTTATTTGTATAAGCACTGGGTACAGTCAGAAACGCAGGAGGGTGAGAGAATTCACCAGAGCCAGAGCGGGGAACAGAATAGGCAGAGTGATGAAATACACTGTTGAGGAGAGCAGTGGGCGCAGCAGGAGAGGTCTATCGCACCATGTGGGACCCTCGCTGGCTGCGGGGGATTGAACCGGTGCTGCAGAGGCTGCCGGCAGCTTTGCAGCCCAGCGCTCAACCGCTGCGTCACCAGGGGAGGCCCAGAGAGTGACATTTCTGATGAGATTTCTCAAAACATTACAGGGGAAATTAAGGGAAAAAAGGAAATAAAGGGGAAAAATTATAAATTTGGTTCTGGACTAAACAGGGTATAGTCAAGAAGACACATTGTGGAGAATATCTAAAAAGAGCAGCTTTTTTGTGGAAGAAACATGATTTTAGAGGGATTTCTATGATATAATGAGAACTATAGAGCACACTCAAATTAAGCACAAATTGTTTTTAGTTACCAGAAGGACACATTTACCAGAAGGACACATCGAGATCAAAAGTAACAATATTCAACAATGATTAGATTCTATGGGAAGCATGTTTTCTAGTCTCATCTCAAAATTTTTTAGTTCAAGAGGGGCCTGTGATAATGAAAAAGGAAAATAACCTATTTTATACTTAAAAAAAAACTCACAATGATGGGATTATGTTTAACACAGGATGTGCTCCCCATTGCCAAAACTGGAATAATTTGAGTAATAAAAATAAAGTAACTCTGGATTATAACCCAAAATATAAAATAATATCCATGTGTGCATAATGATATAATAAATGACTGAATAAATTAATAAATGGGGGAGAAGAAACAAGTTTCCATGAAGCAGAATTCCATTTTTTTTTTTTTTTTTTTTTTTTTTTTGGTGGGACGAACCGGCACTGCAGAGGCTGCGGGCAGCCTCGCAGCCCAGCGCTCAACCGCTGTGCCACCAGGGGAGGCCCAGAATTCCAAATATTTTAAGTAGAGATTCCATCTTCTAGGAGGTAGGGCAGCGCACAGCATTCTTTGAGAATGGGCTGAGCATCCCTTTCCAGGTGATCTAAGTCAAAATCAAGTTGAACAAATTAACCCTTCATACAATATGATAAAAATGGCACTTTACCTCTGTGATCTTCCACCCCCAAACGCAAAGACACAGTCTTATAAGGAGAAAAACATCAGACAAATCCCAGTAGAAGGTGTCCTACAAAATACCTGACCAATTATTCCTCAAACCATCATCAAAAGCAAGGACAGTCTAAGAAACTGTCACAGCCCAGGGGAGCCTAAGGAGACATGACAAGTAAATCTAATTGGTATCTTGGATGGGGTTTTTGGAACAGAAAAAGGACAGTTAAGTAAAAACTAGGGAACTCAAACCACAGGCTTTAATTATTATTAAAAATTAATAATAATGCAAGAGATTAACAATAGGGGAAATGGTAGGGATAAAAAAGGAACTATAACCATTTTCCTGTAAATCTAAAACTGCTCTTTTTTTAAAAAAAAAAGTCTTTTTTAAAAGTTGATTTTTTTATCATCTTGCCTTCCAACTTACTAACAAAGGCAATTTAATTAAAAGAAAAGTGAATAGGAGAAAAAAAAAGAAGGCAAGGCTGAGTCCAGAAAAAGGGTAAGGAAGGAGTGAATTCAAGGCCAAAAATGGTTGTAAAATCAAGGAAAAGTTTCTAAGTTCAGTTATTCAGAGAGGATGCTTACCTGCCAAGGGTCTAGCCTTTTGCTGTATTTATTAACTGACTGCTTCCTTCAAACTCTCATTCTTGGGATTCAGATCAGCTAATTAAATATAAATTATACCATCAGGCATCCCCAGTTAGGAAAAAAAAATACGCAAAGAGCAATATTTAATTTGGGTTTTTTTTTGTGAAAAAGATCAAAAGTAAGTTGGGTGTGTTAGTAAAGGGTGGACAATTGAAGAGTATGAAATGTGATTATATTTCAAAAATTATAGGATTCAAATATTCCAAGTAGCAGGTAGTTGTTTTACCAATTAGAAATATGTCAGCTTATGAATCTCATAGTGTTCAAATATTAAATCTTAAGTAAAACCTCAAACAAAAATGAAATATTTACTCCCCTGTCGGAGTAATTTTGAATTACATCTAAACTAATCCTTGAAAAAAAGATAGGATCTTTCTTTAGAGGTAAGTTACTAGAAGACCTGGGAAAGAGCACCCTCAGGAAGGACCTAAGCCTGTTTACTGTATGCAAAGAAAGAAAGATAAGTTCTGGGCATACAAATAACAATTTATTTGACAAAGTTGCTCTTAAATAGTTTTTATTTTCTGAGAATGTCGCCCCCAAAACACAATTCCTGCTGCAAATTATTTTAATTTTAAAAATGAATAGTAGTATAGGGCCCTTTTTTATAAACTCCATCTGCATTTCCTTAAGAAAATAGTCAAGGTTTTCACTTCAGAAGAACAGATTTGCATTCTTCAATTATCTCCCAACTTGAAGGTTACTGAGTAATCTAAATGGGGGAGGGAACCGTTTACTGAAACAGCTGTAAACACAAATGAAAGTAATCAAAGCAGTATTTGGAAGTCTAAAATTTGGTGCCCTTCACCTCTTTAGACAATCACTGCCTCCCAGCAGGGTAGGAACCTACACTATTCCAATAATTTACATAAGAAATTAGCAACCAAAATTTACATCTGAATGGACCCCCCACCCCAGCAGCCCATCAGGTGTTAAGTATCTGCTTATCTAAATTGCCTCTAAAAATAGCTTTACCTTCCTTTAAGCCTTAGGTAAATAAAGAATTTCCCATGGAGGGAAGGTGGATGCTGACACAAGTCCGGGCATTATAGGGCCCTCTTTGACTGCCATTTTTATAAAGAAAATTTCAGGGCTGTTCTCCCTGTGAGTAAGAGAAATTGGAATAAGCCACATTGAGAGACATATGAAACACTTGCTATCTACTAGATCACTAAGTTTTTATCTTGGTAGTACTAAGCAACTTTCCATACCTGGTTACAAGTAATACCAATAGTGGCAGATAACCCAGAGGTAAATTAAAAACATACCTAGGACATGGGAAAAGCAGGGAAACTCCTCTCCCATTTTTGGTATAAAATTTGATATTCAAAAATATTCTCTAAAGCTTTTACTCTAGCTCTACTTAATTATTTTTGTTGTTGTTTTGGTTCTACTTAATTCTTATAAGAAGAGGCTCAGTGATAAACCAACAATAGTTAAAGCCCTATTTCAACTTATAGCTGTTAACTGATAAACAAGTTGACTGAACAATTAAATAAAAAGCATGAGAATAGATGTAATAAAGGTTGGAAGCTTAATACCAGTCACTGCCCATACCTCCACAGATTTAAAGGCACTTATTACACCAACAATGAGTATAAAAAAATACAGTTGGTCCAAGACTTTAAACCTGCAGATGAGTGGGAGGTGGCTGGTTATACATAATGTAATCCAACCTGATATACTATAATAAGTATAATATAGATAACATAAAAGATTAAGCAAAAGAAACCGATCACATGGAAGTAAATTCATAAGGAATAATGTGCTTGAGGCCTGCCTAACTCAAGGAAGTTGTAAAATTGCGAGAGACCACTTGTAGAAATTTAGGAGCAGATAAGCTACTAGGAGAATTATTCAGGTCTCCTCATCACATAAGGAGGGGATTTTGAGCCCTTTATAGTTTATCAGATTCTGAGAAAAGAGAAAGTAAAACTGCCTGAAAGTACCCATTTATCCGGCTTTGCCTATTTTAAACTCTCATTTATCCTAATTTTTATTATTATTATTATTATTATTTTTGCTCTTCAAGCTTATAGGAGAAATGTACTGAAATGTTATCCCTCTCCTTCTCCCCATACTCCAAGATTTCATGCATTGGAATTGCCAGGACTCAAGTAGTCGGAGTATGAATGTTATACTATATGGATAATGTTATACTAATATGGATAAATTAGAATACACATATTGGTTAGGTTGGAAAGGCCCGAAAACAGCACTGAATACAGCTTAATGGAGAGAAGAGAGTGCTAAGTTGTGACACCCTCAAAATTATGATTATTAAAAATGTTCTATAGTAAGATTTTCTTTTTAGAAATGAGGTTATAAAATCTTGGTAGAGGAGAGGGTTGAAAAAAAATAAAGAAAATGGGATTATCAAAATATGTAATTTTTATCATTTATAGATTACAATATACTGGGTGGGTGTTCAAAACAAATGGCAAATATAAAGCATCTGCTATTTTCATTATTGTTTTAAAAGTAGAACAGAAAGGAGAAAGAACACTAAAATGTTCCTAAAACAGCAACATTCTTGCAGGAAGTAACTGAAGTGCTGTAAAAAGTCCTGACTTGAGTCTAAACTTGCCTTTGCCACATACCAACTCAGAGAAGTCATTCATGCAGTGAATCGCAGTTTCTCATCTCTGAGATGCAGTGATAATACTTGTCTTTCCTATAGACACCTGCTATGAAGCCATAGGAGATAATGTGAGTGAGAAAACAATCATTCCTCATTCCTTTCCATAATTACTGTTTTTCATCATTGAGCAACATATGGAATGATTGCAAACTAGCCAGATAGTATTAGAGGGATTGTGAAAAACAAAAACAAAACCCACCATCTGTAGTGCAAGACCCTTCTGGGGCAGGTTTTTGTGAATAGGGTATTGGTGGGCTATTTGAATCAGACATTTCTTCATCATCTTCATCATCTTCCATTTCATTAGCTGTTAGATTGTTAGAAAAATCCAGGCTTCCATTTTGAGTGTAGCGGTGTACCAAATCTTTATCGAGATCTTCCACTTTGGGTTTTACATCTGGGTAAGCAGATAAATCACAGCTAATTTAATCAAAAGCTATTATGGGGAAATAACCAAAAGAAAAAAATAATAATTCTGAGAGATATCTGAAGACAAGGAGACTTAGTATTTTCTAACACTGAACAAATTTACTTCAGGGGTCTCCAGATTTGGAAATCCCACTTCTTCTAAAAGGAATTTAGAAAGGTGTAGGATTAAGAAACTTACCTGTGGATGAGAAAGGATGCTGGTCAGGGTCCAAGTACAGCTGGGAAAAAATTGGCCGAGGTACCACACTACTACATCTGAGAGAGGCTTCTATGGAGTTGTGGAGAGCTTCCTCAAATCTAGCAGATTTCAGTTGCCCAGCATATGAATTCCCCATGGTCTATACAACCCCCAAAGAAAAAGAGGAAAAAAGGAGAAAAGTGATAAAATTAGAGGGTTACATAACTGCAAAGTATACACATACAACTGATATATAAGCTAAATCCACACACTTATTATCAGGGAAATGCAAATCAAAACCACAATGAAATACCTCATACCTGTAAGAATAGCCCACATTTAAAAAACCACAAACAACAAATGCTGGTGAGGATGTGGTGAAAAGGAACCCTCTTACACTGCTGGTGGGAATGCAAACTGGTCCAGCCACTAAGAAAGCTGTGTGGCATTTCCTCAAAACACTAAAAATGGATCAACCATATGATCCAGTGATTCCACTCCTAAGAATCTACCCAAAGGACACAAAAACCCTAATCTGAAAGGAAACCTGCACTCCTAAGTTTACTGCAGCACAATTTACAATAGACAAGATATGGAAACAGCCCCTAAACAGATGAATGGATCAAGACATGGTGTATATACACATAATGGAATACTACTCAACAATCAAAAAAGATAAATTCATGCTATTTGCAGCAACATGGATGAAGTTGGAAGGGATTATGTTAAGCAAAATAAGTCCAAAGGAAAAAGATAAATATCAGATGGTTTCACTTGTATGTGGAATATAGAGAAAACAAATAAAAGGTCAGGAAAAGATAAAATTTGCAAACTGATCATGGATCTGAGGCATACAGCAGAGAAGTGGTAGGAAGAGGGGTCAAAACAGGGTAGGGAAGAGCGCAAGAGACTGGTAATGGATCACGGGTGCTATGGTGGTAGGAGAATTATGGGACTACACCTGAGGGGAGGAATCAAATACTGTCCAAAAATTAACAATGATTTAAGAAAATAAATAATAAAATGAAATAAATCCATATATCTTGTTATGGTATGAACTACCCCATATTTCCTGTTAGCACAACTTTCACAGGTTATGTTAACATGTCACTTTTGCTTTTTTGCCTTTACAGTCCAAGTCCATGTCAAAAACTCCTTTAAAGGAACTTTGTGTAGAATCAAACAGTAATAAATGCTTAAAGTCAAAGTTCTCAACCAGTAAGTCAAGACTAACCTGTCAATTTTGAGTGGGTGGGCTACCATAACTCCATACCAACTCTATCATTGGTGTCAGAGTAAATGGATAATTATTTCTCTTTCTAATAAGATCATATTACCCTATGGGGGAGAAAAAGACTCTTTTCTGGGGGCAAAAAAAAATGAAAGTTTTATGACAATACATTTAATTGGCAAATTTTTGAAAGCAAGATTTGGGTCTTTCAAACTCAATTAATTTATGTATTACTAGCATTTATCTAAAAAAATTTTTTTTTTTTTTTTTTTGAGGCTTGTAAGAAGTTTAATTTTGCTACAGATAACTTTCATTCTTTGTACAGCATTTTCTTAATGATGTCTCTGAACCATCCCAGAGGTCCATATTTAGGAAGTTGATTCATTTCACAGCAAAGACACAGACAGACAGATATATTAAAAGTAAAACCTCATGCTCAGTGTTAAAATCTCATATCATAGCCGTCCTTATTACAGTGCTTGTTTTCCACACAACTGAGACCATTGGGTAGAGAAAATTTACCTTGATTTTTGTATTCAGAATTTTCAGTTGCCTGTTCACCATGACTTCATTTTTAGATGAAATTTCCCCCTTTTTGAGTGTAGCTGACTGTATCTCTCAGTTGCCAAAGAGGAGAGGAATATCAGTATTAATAAGGATGATCATTTACTTGCCAGTTAAAACACATTCTGAAAAGGATGAAAGCGTCTTCTTGCCTGAAGCTTGCTTGTTCTGTGTGAGCTGTGAGGTGTCTCTGAGCGTTATTTCCATGCTGTGCTTTTCCCTGGGTCTTAGCAGTAAGGTATATTTCTTTTTTTTTTTCTTTTTTTTTTTTTTATTATTAACTATTTATTTATTTATTTATTTATTTTTTTTTTTTTTTAAATATTAAATTTTATTTTTATATTCCCCCATACAATTGCAAACGCCCCATTCTGACCCCAATCCCCCTCCCACCCCCCACCCCCCCAAAAGTGTCTCTGGTTCATAGTTTTTTTGTTGATTTTGATTTTCACTTTCTTATATTCATTTTCCTGGTCCCTTATTTAAGTTTTCTAGATTCCTGCTATGAGTGAGACCATCCGGTATTTTTCTTTTTCTTTTTGGCTTATTTCGCTGAGCATGATCCCTTCCAGCGCCATCCATGTTGCTGCAAATTGCATGTGTTTATCTTTTTTGAATGCTGAGTAATATTCCATGGTATATATGTACCACATCTTCTTGATCCAGTCATCTATTTTTGGGCATTTGGGTTGTTTCCAAAGCTTAGCTATTGTAAACAGTGCTGCTATAAACATAGGGGTGCAGGTGTTTTTTGGAATGGATGTTTCTGTGTCCTTTGGGTAAATACCTAGGAGTGGAATTGCTGGATCATATGGAAGCTCTATGTTTAGTAGGTCCAGAAATCTCCACACAGCTTTCCACAGTGGTTGGACCAGTTTGCACTCCCACCAACAGTGCAGAAGAGTTCCTTTTTCTCCACACCCTCGCCAACATTTGTTGTTGCTAGTTTTTTTAATATGTGCAATTCTCACTGGTGTAAGATGGTATCTCATGGTAGTTTTGATTTGCATTTCCCTGATGACAAGTGATGTTGAACATTTTTTCATATGCCTGTTGGCCATTTGCATTTCCTCTTCAGAGAAGTTTCTTTTTAGCTCTTCTGCCCATTTTTTGACTGGATTATTTTCTTTGTTGTTGTTGAGTCTCATCAGCTCTTTGCAGATTTTTGTGATCAGTCCTTTATCATTAGTGTTGGGTGCAAAAATGTTCTCCCAGTTGGTGGGGTTTCTCTTTGTTTTTGTTATTGTCTCTTTTGCTGTGCAGAAGCTCTTTAATTTGATGTAGTCCCAGCTGTTTATCTTCGCCTTCACTATCACTGCTTTGGGTGATGTGTCTGTAAAGATGTCTTTGATGTGCAAATCACGTAGTGTTTCGCCTATATTTCCTTCTATATATTTTATGGTTTCAGGTCTTATGTCTAATTCTTTAATCCATTTTGAGTTGATTTTTGTGTATGGTGTGAGGTAGTGGTCAAGCTTCATTCTTTTGCATGTAGCGACCCAGTTTTCCCAGCACCATTTATTGAACAAACTTTCTTTGCTCCAATGCATAGTCTTTGCTCCTTTGTCAAAGATTAGTTGACCATAAATCTGTGGGTTTATTTCTGGATTTTCTATTCGATTCCATTGGTCTGTATGTCTGTTCTTGTTCCAATACCATGCAGTTTTGATGATTATGGCTTTGTAGTATAGTTTGAAGTCTGGGAGTGTGATGCCTCCATTCCCTTCTTTTTTTTTCAGGAGAGCTTTGGCTATTCGGGGTTTTTTGTGATTCCATATGAATTTCATCAATAATTGTTCTATTTCTTTGAAGAATGACATTGAAATTTTGATTGGAATAGCATTGAATCTGTATATTGCTTTTGGAAGGATGGCCATTTTAATAATGTTTATTCTTCCAATCCATGAGCAGGGGATATCTCTCCATTTCTTTGTGTCTTCTTCTATTTCTTTTAACAGTGTTTTATAGTTTTCTTTGTATAGGTCCTTTACCTCTTTTGTTAGATTTATTCCCAAATATTTGATTTTTTTTGTTTCAATAACGAAAGGGATGGTTTTTTTGATTTCTTCTTCTTCAGATTTATTGTTTGTGTATAGGAAGGCTACTGACTTTTGCGTGTTGATTTTGTATCCTGCCACTTTACTGAACTGATTGATGAGTTGAATTAGCTTTTCTGTGGAGTTAAACTCCATCTAAACACAACCTTATTTGGGATCCTTTACGAAAGTATATAGTAAGAGGTGTTTAAGCTATGACCTTTACTTGTCATCACTAATTTTTCATAGTATTTGCTAGCTTCAAAAATTTCCAACTATGTTAATAACGATTACACTTTATTAGGTGTTGACTGTTGGCTAGACTAACAATCCAGGTCCCCAAGACCCTTTCTATGGCCGATGAAGTCAAACCTTTGTTTTCAAACTACTAGTAGGATATTATTTGCCTTTTTTACTATCGTTTTCTTACTTGTATACAGTGGAATTTTCCAGAGACTGCATGATGTGTGGTATTGCAACAGACTACATGCAGAAGCAGACAGACTAGTCTTTTCACTCACCTTTTTAGGAAAACAAAGTTATCAATTTGTAGCTATCTGGTCATGTTCCTGTGCTCCTAAAGCATAGTCAACTTAGGTAAATCTGATTTCAAGAAAGGCAGTTTTGAAAATATCTTAGCCTCACTTGCCCATCAGAGAGAAGGATGGATGTTAAATTTCCTCCAGAACACCAACTCTGATTGAATCCCTAGAGAGAGTTCCTGGAGGACTGAAGGAACCTGCGTATGTATCTGGACTCAGCAGGATAGGGGGCCAAGATCCTATTGTGATTAAACCCTGAGTAGAGAAGGGGCAGTACACAGAATATCATAACCCTATTCTCAAGTTTTCCAGACTTATACACAAGAACTTTATAGGAGATTATGGTGCCCCTGAATTGTCTGTATAAAGCAAGGAAGTCTGCTTACTCAATTTCTGGTATCAGTGACTCATTTACAGATTTCTACTGGAGTGACTGGGTTTATCAAGGCTTTATTGGCAATTCCTATGATTTGGAGAAAAAGTCAATCATATTTTGGTAACTTTTCATAATAATTTATAAGAATTACGATGGATTTAAACTACTAGTTGTCTTTCTTACAAACAGTAGATACCCAAAAGTATAGGTATGATACCCGATTTAAAAGTTGTAAGTGTAAGAAAATTGAAGTCTTTGTTTTTGTCCCAGCTCCTACGACTTCCTACTAGTACATCTATAAACATTTAATTAGCAGGCAAACTATAAATTGGAGACATTCACCAGGAGAGGGGGAGGGAAAGGAATAAAATGGGAGGGAAGAGCACAAGAGTCTATGGCGATGGCTCATGG